TATATATATATATATATATATATATATATATATATATATATATATAATTGCATGTATTTGAATAAATGTAAATTGCATGCACTCCAAATGCATTGAATTATTTCTATGGTGTGTAGTTATTGTTAATGTTAAACATACAAAAGTCATATGCATTAAATATATAACATTGTTATTAATTTAAGGCAATGTTTTCATAATATGATACTTTACTATTAATAATTTTTTTTTATCGTAAGAAAATGATAAACAAAATGAGTGTAGTAAAAACTCTACGCTGAAAAGTCAATTATCCACAACTTTTAACAATTATTGAAGTTTCTAAAATTAAATTGTAATAGTAAATTGAAACGAAAGATAAGGAGGTCGAATTCTTATGAAATCTCAATTATTCAAGTTAGCTTGGAATAAATACTCTTAAAATTAATATAAGAAATAATACAACGTGCAATTTATCATCGCATCAAGTGCGCGGAATACTTTTGGACGAAATTACAGAAAATTCTCTATTAGACACCTACACATATACAGAGAGAGAGAGAGAGAGAGAGAGAGAGAGAAAGACCGACTGGCAGACAGACAGTATACGCATAAGTATGTATATATGATATCTCTTATGATAGAATTACGCTTAAACTGTATAAAATATCAAACAGCAAATATACAATTCCATACGATAAATCGAAATCCATCTAATTTATAATAATGCTTTTTAAAAGTAAATCAAGGTCGTTGAAATTCAATGAAGAGTTTTATTAATAATAATTTAGCCGATGAAGGGGCCGCGACATCTAGGCAGTGCGAGAGGTGGCGAAAACGTGCTTCCCTTCTTAAAATTTGTCCCACACATGGGCATATAAAAGAATGGACGTGGACCATCGACATCCCGTTCTTTCCAATGCGGGAGAAATTAAAGAAGACAAGGGGTGCGAGTCGCGAGACTGGTCTATGGACTGGGGAGGCAGTAGAGGGGATGGCCGAGGATGGTATGGCAACACTGGGCGCCAGTGATCGCGCGGGCAAACCATTTTTTTTTTTTTTTTTCTAGATTCGTCGCTGCGCGCGGGGTTCGAGGGATTTACTCGGAGTTTATAATAAAAGTAGCCCACAGGTTGAGACGCCAGCGAGTGACGGCGTACACACTCATCTCTTCTCTTCTAACCGAGTGGATGATAGACCCGTCGCTCGCTACTTCCTTACGCAGATTCTGAGAATTCGCGCGTTCGGTAGTAGCCAGAGAAAAAAAAGGTATAGAGGGAGGGGGTGGGGGAGAGAAGAAAGAAAGAAAGATCGAGGGGATCGAGTACGTAAGAAGAGGACGAGGGAGGAGGAAGAGCCAAAGTCTATACGTAGGGAAATTTTGGGAGAGCGTAAGTATTCGTTATCCCTGATAAAAACGCCGGTCGCCGTTTTACTGTCGTTACGGCTGCCGTAACCGTAGCCGCTGTCGTTACCTTAGCCGCTGTCGTTACCTTAGCCGCTGTCGTTGCCGCCACTGTCGTCGCCGTCATCGCCGCCGCTACCGCCACCACCGCCGCCGCGGCTTTGCCGCCATTTTACCTCTCCCTCATTGGTGGCTAAAGATTTCGCGTTGGATGTTAGACACGCGCCGCCGATATCTTGGCTTCTTATTCGTTTAAGCGTCATCTCGTTTTACGTGCTTTTCCAAGCTCATCGTTCGGTAAGTAATTTCAAGTCCGTCGAGTCGTCGGGACTTGGTGATGGTCCGCTGGCCGAGGCGACGACCCTCGATTGCGTACCCTCGATGAAGAAATCGCGCCGCGTTTTCCCGCTTCTCCCCGGCTCGTGCACTTTTCATCTCGTTCCCCGCGCGTCCTCGCTCCATCCTTCCTTCTCCAAGCTCTTCCCTCATTCGCGACGATTCGGTTAATCGCCGCCGTCGACTCTTGCCTCGAGGGCCCCTCGCACCAGCGACCGCTTTATCCGTCAATAGTGAAGAAGTGCCTTTAAGCTCGCGTTTCTCGCCAGCGCGTCTCATTCGATTCTCTTAATAAGCCGCGATTGTTTGATAGGTCTTGATTTTTTTTTTTCATTTTAGCGGATTCCGATAAATAAGTCGACGTACAAACATGAGCAAGTCTAAGGATTCGCCGTCGACGGAAGGGGAGACCGAAGAGGAGTACAGCGTAGAAAAAGTCCTTGATCGACGAGTCGTGAAGGGAAAGGTAAATATTGTTCCACGTTAGATTTATGATTAACCTCTGGCGGTAAGCCGAACATTATTAAAGTTGTAATTATGAAGTTTGTCAGTTGAGTGGCGGCGGCGGGAGAGGGGGGGGGGGGCACGGCTCAGGGGAATACCAAATTTTGTTTATTAACGGTATCTAACTATTTGCGTTCTCGGTGCCATTCGAAATTTTCGGTTCAGTTTAGCAACGTTACGAGCCTTTTCTTACATCAAATTCCGTTAATTAAGTTAATAGCGTATTCGAGTGTCAGGTATAATTAAAAATGCATTAACGAAATCGCTGTAGCAGCCGCAAAATACGTAAGCTACAAAGAGCTTCTTAACCTGATCTTGGAATTTGAATTTTTTTTTTATTTGTTATTTGTTATTTATTTGTTTGTTTTTGCTCTCTCTCTCTCTCTCTCCCCCCCCCCCCCCCCCCCTCCTCACCTTATAACGATGATTTGAATAATCACTATTACAATTTATTGCTATTATTTATTATTATAATAATAATTGTCGTTGTTTGTAAATTAAGGATAATGATAATATTATCATTATTTGGGTATAATGATTTTTTTAATTTAATAGCCCTCAACGCATCTGATTTTTTTTTATTATAAAAATTACGCGTATTTTAGCTTTTATTTTAATACACGATGGTGGTCGTACTAATTATTGGGGATTGGCTATCGTAGGTCGAGTATTTCTTAAAATGGAAAGGATATTCGAATGATGAAAATACATGGGAGCCAGAAGAGAACTTAGATTGTCCAGACTTGATCGCTCAATTTGAGGAAGCTCGCAGGAAAAAGGAAGCAGCTGCTGTTAGTAAACGAAGGGAGGAGAAGGAGCAGAGAAAGAGAAGTAGTTCTAGTACGCCCACCCCGACGCAAGTTAAGAAAAAGGCTGTCGAAGAGAAAAAAGCAGAAGGTACGATTATTATCGATAGGGAATATTTGTGTATATTATTAAGTTTGTCTTTGATCATTTGTCGATCCAAATAATTTTTTTTTATCCTTAAACAAACATGTACTCTGGTATTTTGAGAGATATAATCGATCGATGGTCTTGAGTAAAATATTGAAATATCGCTTCTTTTTATTTTTAATTTAACTATTTCTTAAATAGAATAATCGTAGTGGAAAGTCTAAGCACTCTCAATGTTCGATGATAAACATTGTCAATGAAATTTCACGTTTTTTTTGTTTTGTTTTTGTTTCGTCACATTAGTAAAATTACTCTTTTGAATTTTAGGTTTCGATAGAAATTTGGAACCAGAACGTATTATTGGTGCCACTGATTCGAGTGGCGAATTAATGTTCCTTATGAAGTGGAAGGGAACAGATGATGCGGATCTTGTACCTGCACGAATTGCTAATGATAAGTGTCCACAAATTGTAATCAAATTCTATGAAGAGAGATTAACGTGGCATAGTCCTGCTCGGGATGAGGAAGGATCGGCAAAACCAGATCCTGAGTAGCCTCGTGTTCTACGATTTGATTATACAGTCTTCTTCAAATTATGTCATGTTTAAAAAGTTATATTTGGACGTACATTTAATTTTATTTTACTTTTTTTTTCTTCTTTCATTTCAACTATTAACGTAACATAACTTACTGTGCCACTGACTAATTATTATTATTTTCTTTTTATATTTTATAAATAATAATAAACATAATTTTGAAAAAATAATTGTGCACTTAGCCTAATACAAAATATAACTTCATTATTAAAAGAACTCTGAAGATTATGGCATGGAATTCTTATGATTGCGATGCTACTTAATTTCTTACATCTCGGTAATACTTATGGACATTAATATCAATTAAATATCTAGTCGCCAACTAGACACACCATAACGCAACTACTGTTACTGCTGTGCAGAAAACGATCTATAGTAATATATGTTGTCTCGTTAAGTAGTAGTATTTTAAATAATGTTTGCGACGAAGATAGCCTTAAAACATAAGAAAGTTATTGGTAGTAAAGCGCCCCCCTTATGATACATTGATAGTTCTTAGCGAAGCTATCACGGTAAATATCGTGGCTGTCTTTGTCGTTACCGTGTCCTATAATGTCAATGCTTATACGATAACATTATATTAATTCTTGTAAATAGAAGTATTAATCATTCCGATTGACCTACAGTCTCTCAATTAAAAGTACATTCGATCAAGCTTCTTCAGCATTAACGATTTTAATTTATCTACATAAGCTCAATCTTGTTATAACTGCATGCATGCAGTATCGAACAAACATAACGAAATATAAACTTGTCCATCGAGATCTTCGGCTCTTGTGTATTAATGTCCATAATTGCGAGTATGTATCAATGCTATCTAATAAGTATTGCAAGCATGAATGTTTAATGTCTCGCTGACACGATTGACCGGATAACATAGGGGCTAAAGCCAAAAGTGTCTTAATGTCTAGTCAAGAATGTTCAGTGGTAGCATTATGAAAAGCATTATTATCCATGACCCTTAAAAATTGTGTCTCATTCAAATAGATAATGGGTGCATAAAGCGAGGAAAGGTATGTAGAGTTTACAGGGCTTAGCGACGGTATATGAGAAACTATCTCTGTCTACCAGTAGTCAATACCCAACGAGCTAAAAAGTTTGAAAAGAATTCTCTAAGCATTCCAAAAAGATCTAGGCTATCTATCTATTATGATTTTTTGGTATTAGAATTCAAGTTAATTATTACAATAGATTAAATTCTGGTAACGATACCTAAAAAAAAAGAAAAAAAAGAGAAAAAAATAAAAAATATATATATAAAGAAAAAATAAAATTAAAACAAAGAAAAAAAAAAAAAAAAAATTTAAAAAGTATACTTCAAATAATAGTAATATGTTTATATATAAATGCATATATATCTTAAATAATTGTACTTTAGGCATTTGTAGTTATGTTAAGTAAATAGATAATTTAATGGTCATGTTTTAATGTAATACAAAATTTAATGTATAATGCGCTTCTGACATAATTGTGAAAGAGTTGCACAAGGGTACTTGGAAGAATGAATGTGATTCGCAAGTGAAAAATTTTGATATATCGGACAAATAATTACAGTGCATATAAGTATTTTAATTTTGTAAGTTGTGACTGCGATGAAAATCTAATGAAATAATATTTGTATCTGTTAATTGCAGAAGATTTTTTAAGAATTTATTTCATCCACTATTTAACATTTAATTATATTAATGCACGATACTGTAATACGAACATAACTTTGTCTCTATAAACACTATTTAAGCGTTGCCACGCATAAAAGTGATTTCTTTATCAATAAAGTACACGCGTACTTGAAATTCTGTTCGATTCTAAAGTATTTTAAAATGTTCCAGCGTTATGTTACGTATAATAATTATAACTTTTTAAGAAAATTAATTACAACGAAATATTTTGACTGTATGAGTGTAATACAACATACCTTTTTTTTTCTTTTTTTTTTCTCTCCTTCTTCTCCCCCCCTTCTCCCCCCCCCCCCCCCCCCCCCCCGCCCGCCCCCCCGCCATTCCTCTCTGTTATAGATTAAAAATAAAGTAAATCCATAAGAAATAGATAGTTATTATTTATTAGAAAATGATATCAATAAATCGTAACAATTAATTTTTATAATACAACGTCTTAAAAATGATTTATCTCGGAAAGTATTTTGATATCTTGTAAAATATTTTCATTTTTTTCGTTTCACAGCTTTCTGACGTTTCGTAAAGGCTTTTTTGCCCTTGAACTTATTAGCTGATTTGGCGACTGTCGCCTTCCTTCCGCCACGGAAGCCCGAAATCCGCTCGTTACGCTCAGTCTCCCAATCCAGTTGCTTCGCGCTAGCACCATCGCGATCACTGTACAAACTACTTGCACCGTACTTGAATTTCGCGTGTCCCTGCTCTTCCAGCATTTCCGCAAATTGCTCCGCAGACACGAACGTATTGTCGTCCAAGCCTTTAAGCTTCTTACCGATGTTTTTAACCACTTTATTCATTTTTCGTTTACCCGAGGCTGACTGTTGGACGACGCCTTCTTCGTCTTCGTCTTCGTCTTCGTCTTCGTCGTCCTCGTCCTCGTTCTCGTCCTCGTCCTCATCGTTAAATTCCATGTCACTTAAATCGTCATCGATACTGTCTAAATCGCTTAGATTATTAAGTTCTTCGTTTAATTCTTCCTCCACCGACGAGTCGCTATCCTCGCTCTCCATATCATCGTCGTTTTCTGTTAAAACAAGAAGAAAAAAGAAAAGAATTAACAAATAAATACAATGATCGCATCTTTTAATAAACATTAAAGGATTGATGGGCTTGAATCGACCGACATTACATCATACACGATCGTGGGGAAAAATCTAAAATTGTAAATAATAAAGAGAGTTTATCAATGAAAAATCATTTTGACACTCCGACAATTAATTAATACTAAACATTATCTATCGTTAAAATTTTCACTCAAAAGTTCTTCGTCATCATCACTCGTCACAATAATCTCATCAAACTCAACAAACAATCCCATTTTTACCCCATTTTGGATGTACTTTAATAAATAAATATTAAAATACACGAACGAATTGTTACTTCTATATTGGAAGCCGAAGCCAAATCGTTAAAAAAAAAAAAAATAAAAATAAATAAATAAAACCCCTTACCTTTCGTTATCTTCCGCGGTACGAGATCACCGGCTATATCTAAATCGTCGAGGGATTTCCTCTTACTCATTTGATCGAGCATATCATTGAAATCCTCGCTATTCACGCTCTCGTTGTCCTCTTCGACACGGCTCGTCAATTTTTTAATCCCCTTAAACTCCTTCTGCTTTTGCATGTATTGATAAAGAAATAGCTCGTCGACGGGTATGCGATCCTCTCTCTCCTTAATGTATAATGAGCTATTCACTGGAATCGCTCGAATGCCTCGTGGTGTGTAAGCTGCTCTTTGGGCCAGTGGATCGTTTTTTCTACTCACCTTTTTACTTTCAAGTTTCTTTGGATTTTTGAATACGTAACGATCCAAAAATCGAATTAAACTCAAGTCTTCGAGAGGATCTCCCGTGTATCGTATATGCTTCCCTGATTAAGGAGAAAATATTTTTAGCAACGATGTATATGTGTATATATATATATATATAAGCATCGCGACACGATTGCGCGTTTCATTTGGATTCGTTTATAGTAATGAGATGGAAGAGAAATAAGAGAATCACCGTCATAATCGTGTGCTGCTGGGATAAAGATATGGAAATGGAACGATCACGAGTGCGAAGGGGAAGAAAATATACGTGGACAAATTTTTGGGATCGATTTTGGATAATTAACCACCACCACCAAAAAGTAGTACACGCGCGTCGGTGTGGCCGTTACACGGGAGCTTCTTATCCCGATAATATTGGCGGCTGCCAATCGACTAGCTTTCAACCTCTAAATTTAATTGCATAATAGAATTTAATTGTCAAATGAAATTTCATTTAAATTATTACTGTTTGTATATACCCACCTTCCAAAATCATTTTTGCAAATAAAGATACACTCGGATGAAAATGTTTTGCAAGCCCTTTCAATTCGCAATAAAAACTTAGATGCGCACCGCAGTGGAGCGGATTTCTTATAAAAGGATCATAAACCTTGGTCTTTATTTCTAATTTTATTTCTCCATTTTTCAGCTTCTCATCGTCATTAACGTTTTCTTCTCCGGTCTCTGTTATTACATTTGATAAGACTATCGTACTCTCTTCTTTCATAGCCGCGACATCGTTCCCTTTATTATCATCGACTTCATCCGACTTGTCGTTCGACTCTATTTCTGTGTCGCTATTTATCGTCTTTCTCGAGACGATTAAAATATTTTTCGTACGTTTCTTTAAATGTAACACTTGCGATATAACGTATAAAGTGGCGCATGTCATATTGGCTGGGAAATACGTGCAAATTTGCAGAATTCTTTTAATAAATGCATGCATTCTCAGTTGGCTCTGATCGCTGCGCAAGACCTTGAATAATAAATTTAAGAATATTGCCCGCTTGCTTGATATTCCAATTTGAGAATTGAAGAGCTTACGGTAGAAGGTCGAGTAAAACCTGTCCGACTGATCGGCGTTCTTACTAACAACCTGCAATTGACAATTGTAATTAGACAGAGTTGGGCTGACAATACAAAAAAAAAAAAAAAGAAACTTACTTTAAATAAGCATGCAATTATTTAATCTGTCTTACTTCTTACTGTATAGTATAATATTATCATATTAATAAAGCTGTCTTACTTGGAATAATAAATTAAGAGCGCTGAGGGATACGTTGAAAGAACCGTAATAGACAACTCGATAAATAGAATCTATGTGCTTATTCAGTTGCGTGGAATTTATGTCAGCGAAGGGATACGCCCTATTTACACCGGTTAATATTGCACCCATCATTCTGGTATCGGGTTCGCCCCTTTTTAAACATGCGTTAAAAAATGCAAAATACACGTTGATGAGATTTGTGGCAATCGCAGTGTCTTCCTTGAAGAGTACAAATTGCGTTAACAAGCATATTGCAAAGTACTGAGTTCTCTGAGAGACATTGTTTCTGAATAATAGCTTTTCAACTTCTTGCAGAACAACTAATTTCATGTTAGAATGCTTGTATAAGAGTTTGGTAAGAGAAAAGACAGTCTTCGAAGCTACCTTACTGCTAGGGTCGCCAATTTTGTTTATTATTAAGTCGAGAAGTTTGTGCTCTTGTTCCGAGTTACCTATTAGCAGTTCCGTCATCACTGATATGGCCTTTTCTCTATTTAAATCGACCGTATCGTTCACTATATTCGATAATGAAATAACAAAGCGTTCGTAAATGTCCTTTAATTGATCCTCGAAATACCAAATGCCTAGAAGCTTGTTCTTAGAGGTCGCTTTTCTATTTTTCAAATTAATGTTATCGTCTTGATAGGATGCGTCTACGCTATCCAGTTTGTCCAGATCTTGCTCCTCAAATTTTAAGAGTTTAAATTTTGGATGGAGCAAATCGTTCAAAAAGAGATCTTTTATAGCGTCGATAATCGTACTGCACTGATTATGTTTGGCAATTTTAACTTGTGATATTAATATAGTAAGCTGATTTAAATTGTACTTAGGACTATTCTGAATCATAACAATGCCAGCAGCCACTTTATCCGATATCGTTCCCCTCGATAATGCTGTTTTTAACCAAGAATATTCCGAATTATACATTCTCGATTGCTTTAAATGGTAAGCTGCACTTTCCGAGTCAAGGCATTTCTTAGCTTCGGTTTTCAAATCGATAACATCCATTTCACTCCATGTTCGCTTGGAGACTCTGCTTTTTCATACTCCTCGTACCACTTTGTAATGACTTCCGAATCGTCGAGCGATGACATTTTTCTTCGACTACATTAATGTAAATATAATTAAATTAATAATTGATGGATTGATCAATATATGACGATTTTCATCGCTCAATGATTAATTGTTCATAATTCGTTAATTGACAAGTAAAAGAACATTACCAGGATTATACCTTAATTTGCGCGTATATGCTTATCGTTTAATCAATCGATAAAAAAACATTCGTAATTAAATTGAATGCGATATTTGCAGCACAAATCCTTGTAAATGTAGTTTGCAATTGAATTGAACGACAATATGAAAATTGATAATTTAGGTTAAATACCTACTGTCTTTGTATTCGTTGTAAAGTTAAGTATTATTTCTTGAATGGAAATATAACCTCGCTTTATTTATTAATTGACTTATTAAAATTGCAATCGGTGCGTGTCATTATCAATAAAATTATATTCCTCGTGAGCTACAATTAATTATTAACGTTTCTAGCAGAATAATCATCACGTGGAATGTATTTGAACAGGAAACGCGGCTCCATCTCGTATCGACCGGTAATTATGCAATTATAGTAGCCGATAAAAAGTAATGTGAAAATAAACAAAAATTATTGTACAGGGATAGATTGCGAAATGTTAAAACAAAAAAAAAAAAATTCTATACTTAATATTAGAAATATTCAAAAATTTTACCAAAATATGTTTTGGGAAGATATGTTAAAAGTAGTATTTTTATCCATTATATCTATGTATTTATAAGATTTTTTATTAATAATAATAGTATGTGTAAAGAAAATTTTAACAAATTTCTAAATTGATATATTATATTATTAAATATAATAGCAATTCGTATTTATTCGTATGTGTTATGTACATATATACTTGATACATAAATGTATATAAAAAATAACAGTCAGAATTTCACTCTAGTTCATTATAATTAATATAAACTTTATAAAAATTCTTTAATGATCTAGTCCCCACTTTGTATATCTTTTTTCTTCTTTTTGCTTGGAACGTCAAGTGTGTTTAGGTTGGCTCTTTTATTTTTCACTATTTCAGGTTGATCTTCCGTTTTATCTAATTTTCCATTTGTAACTGAATTATTGCAAATTCCATTGGGCGTGTTACAAGTACTAAAATCGAATGATTCCAAGCCTTCGGACATAAGTTTTGCTCGTAATTCGCGCGCTTCTTTTTTCAATTTTTGCCTGTCTTTGTTGTGACTATTGTTTTTCTTTCTTTTTTTATTATTATTTCGTAATAGTTTATCGAGCGAATTTGATTCACTGTTATCGAGACATTCGTTACTACCCGACGCATCCTTTTCTTCCTCACATTCTTGATTTCCATTATTAAGTTTAGTTTTTTCTAGATTCCGTGTGTTTGGGGGGCTGCAATTAAAAAAGAAACATTATTATTTTTAAGCAGATTACGATGTTTGTACATTAAAATACTGACAAAGAGTTTTCCAAAGCATCGGTATTATTATATAGCAAAAAGAAAAAAATGGCAAGTAATTTATTGTGTATTTAAAATAAAAATTTATAATTAATAATATCATAATTATTTTTAATACTTAATTTTGTTTTATCATAACACAACATTTATTATGGTATTCTTATTTAGTTGTTGTTTTCTTATTATTATTATTATTATTATTATTATTATTATTATTATTATTATTATTATTATTTTTTTTTAATGGTATATTTATTTGCTTCTTTTTCTTTATGGATAGACAAAAAACGAAAGGAAAAAGTAACGTAAAGGTTTTGCATACTGACAAAGTAACAGCTTCATTATTAACTAATTAATTAGCTGCTGTCAAAAGCGGTATTATCTACATAAGTATAATATTTCGGTTATTTAAGCTTACTATTATGACAATGATAAATCCTTGTTTGGTAAACTTACATAACGGGAGCACCAATACGATGAGCCAACTTGTAATAAGCACTTTTAGCATCTTTTGCTAAAGTTACCGTCGACCTGTAATTTGCGATGCTTTCACCAATTTTTGTCCAGTCCCACGACTCGGGTATATGATGAACGTGTATCGTCGACAGTAATGTGAAGAGATTACAAATGTACTTTTGCCTTATTTCTTTGCCAACGTTGGTAGTGATTTTACCGTTCTCTGTGTTCTGTTTACTATTTATTTGCAATTCATTTATTGCCAATCTGTACAGATTGCTCTCGATTATTCGCCTTTTATCTTTCTGTTCATCTGCAATAATCATTCTAATATTACTGTAAAAGACTTTAAGAAACTCGAGAGCTTGTCTTCTTCTGTAGAACCTAATAGAATTGTCAAAAGAAAAATTCACCTGAAAAGCAAGCAAACGCAGACGATATTTGAAAATAAGTAATTAATGCATTGGCGCTTGATGCTGGATGCGCTCAAGAGTTAAAAATCTTACCAAAAACGGTACAAGATTCCAATTGCCGACCCAACAGAGTTGCAACAGACTTTTAAATAAGATTGGCGGAAGAATGCAATCTCGTTTTTTGAAAAAGGCTGTTAAATTCTCCGCAAAAATTTGGATAAACGAGTCATTGTTGATATTCGTTTGTTGTGAGCATCGAACAAGAAATATAGAACACTCCGCTAATTTATCACCCATTTCTTGACAAATAGATGCCGATCGTTCTCCTTTTTCTATCAATGCCTGTTGCAAAATGGCAAAATTGCAACAACAAAAAAGAAAGAAAAGAAACATTGTATTAAAGAAATGAAAATCGCTAAAGAAAAAAAATTAATGTTAATTAAGTAGAATAAATCTTAAATAAGAAGATTAGAATTTCAATATTGTATAAGCTTTAAGCAAATAATAATCAATCGAGTAATATTTATCAGATGTAATGTCAATTTAAATCAATCGCTACATATATATATATATATATATATATATATATATATGTAATAAAAGTTTATTGTTAGTTTTCGTTTTTTGTTTAAAATTACAATTCGACTATATTAGCCTTATAAAGCTCCGTCTTGATATTAGAGACGCAAGATATTCCCACGTGTTGGGTAGAAAAATAGAAAACAACAAGTTTCATATTGACATAAAGATACAATACCTTTAAAAGAGTGGTCAGAAGCTCCTCGTTAACGTCTTCAACGCTCTTGAATTTTTTAATAGCTGAGAGTTTCTTTAAACAGCTCCGAACTCTATTCTCAAGAGGCTTCTGATGTGGATCCTTAATCGTAAATTCCAGTAAGGCAAACAGGGGTAATAACATGTCCAAAGCCAAGGCCATCGAAGGACTCGTTTCCAAATAATTTTCTAAAAGGTCGATTACCCGAATTCGAAAGTGCGTGAGAACTTGGGCATTTTTCTCTTGCTTTTTCGTTCGTGACTTTCGGTTCTCTTTCAAGATCTTGAAGGCAGCTGCTAAAGACTCGTCCAGGCGCTTCCCTTCTTCCTCATCGATATTATCAACGTCTATATCCTCGGTATCCGTCTGCATCGTAGCATCTCCTAGAGCCTGCCTCACGGCTAGGCGTAACCTGTCAGTGACTGCCTCATCTTCGACGTCCGACTCTTCGATATCCGAATCGCTTTCCTCCTCTACCTCCTCGCTCTCCCTATTATTGCTATTCTCATTCTTCTCTTCGTCCTCGTTCACGTTCTTCCCATCCCCGTCCTCGTCCTCGTCCTCGTCCTCGTCATCGTCCTCGTCATCGTCATCGGCGTTAGATTCTAATTCGGAATCCGATTCGTCCCCGTCCATTGACGAAGTCAAGGGATTCTTGGTGCTTTTAACGTCCAGGATTGATAAAATTTGGTGAATTGCCGTTAATGTCAAATAAGGGCAGATGTGCGGGAAAACGCATCCTACAAGTGAGCGTAAAAGGTGACTTTTTCTTGAAAGTAAGGATAAAAATAAATCGACAACGACCTCGATCCACTCTGGCTCGTTCGTGTTTTCCGTAACAGTGTCGTTCTTTTTATTCAATTTCTTCTGTGACTTTAGATGCTCGAAACAACTATGAAGCTCATTTATCGACGAGACGGCCATTTCCGGATCGGAAAACAGCTGGAGGCCCATGTGAAGATCCATTATGTGAAATACCACATTGATATTTTGATAGATTTTCGAGTTCTTTTCTAATTTTTTCACGAACTTTATCATTTTATTCCACGCCTCAGTCCCGTCGTCATTTAGAGGAACTTTCAATTTCATTTCTGAATTTTTAAATACATTTTCATCGATATGAGAGATTAAGGAAGTCAGGACTGTTCTCAAATCATCGAGTTTTGGTAACTTGTTATCCAAAGCACGATAAAAGCTTTCTTTGAAGTGAGCTAGAGTCATCGTGTAAAACAAAGTAGAATGAATATCTGTTTTTTCATAAAGGATAATGAGCACAATGAGACAATAAATTATACTCACGAGCTAGTTCTGTACTAACGGTAGACACTTCGCACAGTCCAAGATTAAACAAAAACTTCAATTGCTCTACTCTCCATTCGAGATCGGATATAATTTCTGGATGATGCATTAATCTGTAAAAAAATATTGACATTATTAATTAATTTCTTTATCGCTTACTTATATATAGTTTGTCAATCTGCCATTTTATAAAGGTTTGCAACAATAGCGAAAACATACTTAACACTAAGTAATTGTACAGCGTAAATTCTTTCGCATTTTGTCCAAGGCTCTTGTGTAGAATTAAACTTATCTTTAAATTTTGTATTTGCTGCGATTTCTCGATATAAATTGGCTAACTTTTTTATTCCATCGGCATTGAGATTACTTATTATCATCTGCAGAACCTTTGTGCCGGTTATTTTCTCTATCATAAGGTCCCCTGGGTATAAAATCAATTTTTTCAGTACTGAAATCTGTAATTTAGCTTTTAATTCTTTAACTTCGAGTAACTTTACTATTTGAGATAGAGCTTTTTTAAAGCCAATGGCAACGTCGTCGACTTTGTGTCTAGCATTGTTTGAAAATCGCTTGAGCATGTATTTTAGAAAATTATGAGATAACAGCGTAGGAATAATGGACTTATTTGTTGTGGATTTAAGAATTAAATTTAATAATTCGACGCCTAAATATTCATCCGTTTTGGATGGCTTGATAAAACGCTGATCTATGCCCAACCAAAATTCCTCGACAAATTTGGTTGCTATTAATTTTTCGCAAAACACTTCGTATATTGGATGCTTATAGCAGATTATTCTTGGTAGATTCTGTTGTAAAAATAAATGAACAGCTATAACGAATATGTGATAATGCAAACATTTACTTTATCTTTGCATCGTAATTAAAAATACTTTTTTTGTTATAAAATGTCAGAAATGCATAAAGTATAATGACTAAACTCACCGTTAATATCTTTAAAATATCTTTTATAGACTCTTCGTTTATAATATCTTCACTTCCAAAGCAATTTTTAAGTATTTTCTTAGATATTATTTCAGGAAATTTATCTTGAATTATTAATAAAGCATAAAATGTATCCAAGGTCTGTTCGGCGACGGGCTTGCAGATTTCTTGTTCAATGAGCATCCAAATGGGCGCCAAAGAATCGTTATTATCAAGTTGATTTAAAAATTCTATTAAGAACGATACAGATTCAAACCTGAGATAGCTTCTCTGCTTACCACAATGTAATAAACATTCGAGAATTCTTTTCTGCTCGTCGACTGAGCTAGTCTTTAAAATGTTAGAACGTATTATAGAACCACACGCTAAAATACGCCCATTGTTTATATCAGCAAATTCCTAAATTACGTCAAAAACATCGAAATAAATATGTTTCTTCAAAACTACATTCATTAAACAAAACGATAGAAACTCTTACGCTTTTGCTGCTACTAGCGCTTGTCTTCAATTCATTATCCATAATACTAATGATCTTATCAATTTTTGTGCTTGGATTCAGCAACAAGTACACGGTTAATGTACAATAAAATCCCTTTCTCGACGAGATCTTATTCGATCCCAATCCACGCACAAGTCTATTAAGTATATGATTGAATTCCTTGCTCTCTCCATTTTCCTGAAATAAATAAAATTATCGTGACGATTGAATCGCAAAGTTATTGAGCTCCATGAAATCGAGATGACTAAAATTAATATCTATATTTAGACGGTTTAATGTTACTTTTACTTTTACTTCTATTATTACTTTTAATCTTATATAGACCCGTACTACAAATCCAGTCATATGTAACATTTAGTAATAATGTGCATCGAATCACTTTGAAATTCATAATTGATAATTTCTTTAATAAAAATTGTGCTACGCAGGTTATTGTCACCCCAAATAGTTACCTGCACTTCTTTCGATAAATGCTGCAGCAACATTAATCCACCATCCACTCTTTCGCTCGTGTTGTCTTTCAACAATTTCGGAAAACATTCGAGTAGCGTCAATCCCATTTTTGACGCTCAAAACTTGTAATTTCCACGGCGATTGATTTTAAAAAGCAACACTAATTTCCCTCATGTGCTCGGCTTGTCTCTTACTCGTAAATTGCACTCAAAATCTGATCATTGGAAGTTTGTCAACACTATTTTGACTCTTTCCGTTCAAAGATACTACGCGATTCAAGCTATTTTGAAAAGTTTACCATTTCCGAATTAACAATCCATTGTTATAAATAATCTTCGATTAACGCTAAGTTTCATAAGGGTTTCGATGGATAAATTGCTTGAAGATTGGAGAGCGAGTGGATATTATTAATTAGGAATATTACGCATTGCATTTGGCTTGGTCGGCAGGTGTGTTACAGTCTTGCGCGAAGTGACAGTTCGTTATTTTGTATACAGAATAAAAATTGTCAAAATATTTGTGGATAATAAATTTTTCGATTTGCATTAATGATAATAATAATAATGTTAATGGCTGTGTGACTCGTTATATGTTATTGAATAGGTGTGAATTGTGTGCAATAAGTCAATTGTAATATGCCGCGTTATTCAACAATTGTTAATACACGTTTGCTGGGCATCGATTGTAGTAAACAATTTTGTTTAACGCTTATAAATAGTTATTAATTTTGTTTTTTTTTATTTATTAAAAACGTAGTTTCGTAGCTAACAATGCAGCATGATCCATCGAAAATGGATCATGGATCATCGATAAAAAATTCTGGATTGCGAAAAATAGACAGGTTAGATATATTTTATTTAATGTTTACATTCAAGCGTGAAAATTTGACATTAAATTCATCGTTTAGATGCAATAATGCGAATAATCTGCTGCTTTAAAATTTATTACTTTAATGGTGGTGCGTAATAAGATGAATAATTTCTTTATAGAACTAGAAGTGCACGCACACCGGACAGATCAGACATTCGTCATATAGATTCGAGCCTTCTAAACAGTAAGTTGATTTCTATTATAATTTCTTTCGTTTCATAATCAAAATGGTTTTCGGTTAAATCAAACGATATTTGTAGCTTTTTCTCCAAAGAAAAAATTATATACATCTAGACAATCCACGCTGCCTGCAACGTTAAACGCAAGTACCATTTTCTTGAGAAGATTAGAATTAGAGAATAACAATTTGGAATTGGAACTTGCATATAGCGAGTACGTATCGTCCAATGCCGAATTAATTCTCGAGAAGAAAATCTTTAGAGACACAGAATTAACTCTTACTAATTCGATAAAAAGTATTTACGAAGAAACCAAATATTTACAAGAGAAATTTAAATTACTCGAGACAAGGATAAAAGACATCAAGGCGTTGTCGTGGTTAAATGATTATGTCGACGACGTTCAGTCTCATACTAAAGACTTTATAGGCAAGTTATTAAACTAAGTTGTATGATATTAAAAATTGTTATTGACTTTGATGCGTCTCTTTAGATAAGCAAAAGAAATATGAAATTAAGGATACGCTAGCTCAGTTGGATAAATTCCTAAATCGATTCAATGTTTTACGATGTGAAAATATTATTTTACCAAATACAATAGAAGATGTACAACGATTTAAACAAACGTTAACAGATTGCTATTCTGTATTACAATTGATTAGCGATCCAATCGAAGCTGATATTTTGGAAGACCTTACAAAGAATTATGAAGAGTTTATAACGTTGCATAATGAGATTTTAAATATTAAAAAAATGTATGATAATTATTTTTAAATATTGTCGTAGCTATTGTTTTTCCAATTATAATTAAAATTTTTGTGTTTTTCTCAGTGTTGCAGATAAGATATGTAATCTTCAAGTAGAAACTTTAAAAGCTTGCTCTTATGCTTTATCACAAAATGATGTTTAATGTAAATAAATACTAATATGTTGTAAATTATAAAATATTTTAATATCTAATAAAAAAATTTTATCACCAAGTACATATAATCTGGTTGATAATTCTAATTTTAATATTGCGGTAAGTATTTTTATTCCATAATAATAATAATAATATTATATCATTAATCATTGGTACAAGTACAAGTTATTAATTAGAACTTTCAATTACTTGTTAAAAATTTCTTTACTATACGGAGTAATCATATTTTATTCTCTCTCCCTTTAATGACGCTAATCGTTTGTTAACTATAAATTCTGAAATCAAGAAGAAAAGGACAGAATTTTCATCAAGGAAATCGTATAAAGCGACTTAACCGGTTGGTATTTTCAATAAAACTACAAATATTTTATAAAGACTTGTATTCCATTAATCGTTAGATGAAATGGCACGAGCTGCATTGTATAAGGTATTATAAATATCTCGGATATATTGTACTTGGGTTCGAACGGTCATTAAATATTGAGGATAATTCAAAGCTTCCTGAACACCAATATTCTCTGTTCTAATAGGTAATACAGATACTGGCATATATCTAACGGAACTCGAATTTTGACTTAGGCATTCAATGGATGTCCTTAAATGTAATTCTATTTGATCGCAAACGGAGTAGAATTCTTCCATATTTTTATTGAAACGATGGTCTGGCGGATCGACACCTTTCGATGTATCTACTAAACTGTTCTGATGCAATGTTTGAGCAGCTGTTTTCAATGCGACTGAAAGTGAATCACGAAGGGGGCCAATCAAGGATTTAACTTTAGATATATTATCCACTTTCTCTTGAGTTTGTTGAATTGGTGTTTGCGTAGGATGCATTACGTGTTGTGGAGTTTGAAGTTGAACGGCGTTTGCTTGAACCATTTGATTCATGCCCATAGGGCCTGCCTGTTGCATGGGAATATTCATTTTGTCCGTTTAAAATTGCTTTCCTCCGAGAGTATTTTAAGAATCTTTCTTTAGTGATCTGCAAGAAAAATAAATAAACACATTGCAATTTGACAGTTCGCTATGAGATGGAGGATTCAGAAAATAATTGAATCAAAGTATCATTGTAATTGTTATCTATTATATTTAACTTTGGAGACTTAAAGTCCTTTGAATTCAATTTTATCAAGGCTCGTTTTAATGAAAACAACAGCAAAGAGTACTTACATAAACAAAAAATTTATAAAAACGTCAAAAGTAAAATTATTTGTAATACTCCTTTTTCATTTTACTTAACAACACTTTAGTTTAGCATTGCGATTCTCTGAAAGCACGCATAGTCTTTTAGTTAAGATTTAAATCTTAATATTATGTCTATTGGCCTTTTTGGCACGAGTTCCCTTAGCCAATTATAAATTTAAAGATTCAATGATTTAAAGATATTTTGACATTGATGTAAAAACAAGATGGAATCATCTTAAATTCCAAATGTTATGAGAAAATTACTTTAACCGCACGCTTTTATTTACTCCTCAGGCACATTAACCACAAGATAATTTAAAATCAAGTATAATATTTACACGTAGATAGGCAAATTATCAAGACTGTTTTGAAAGGAGCGTACTTTCAATGAATTCACGATGAGTGGTGAGTGATAGGTAATAATTAGCAAATTGGTAAACTAATAATATTGACATTGATAATATTGCGTTCAGCAGTGTACGGAGCAAACTCGTAAGACTACATCATCATACACCAAGCGTGAACATTTTAACATTTTAATAATTTAATAATATAATGTTCGATGGTCGAAATCCATGTAATTCCAAGAATCAACGTAAATGAAATAATCTATCGTTAGTTTCTTATAGATCAAGAACTATCGAACGAACGTCTTCCAGTAAGTCGGATAGGGCAGAGACGAGAGTCCGTCCAACAGAGACTCCAGAGACTGTGGAGTTCGTCTTATAAAAGTCGATCGCAGAACGATTGTTGGGTTAAACAAGCCATTTCCAGACTAGAGGCGAACGTCGAATCCTAAGGCGAGAATTAGGCTGGGAGACATTTTTGCGAGAAAGCGGCCGGAAAAATTGGCCATAAATTGCACGGGAGAATGAAAGGCATAAGGAATGGGTCGGCAAGTAATTACTCCCTCATAGCTGTTAATACTCACATCGATCGATCCTTAAATCAGTTGGCTTCGTCGATTAGAAGAACAACGTTAAACGAGCACACGGACATCGGCCAATGGAAAATCTATCCACTTATCGGCAACTTTCCTCGGAGCTCTCTATGATCTGCGATGCTCTCGCGCCATCTACGATTACCTGCTGTAGCAGGGATACGCTCGGCGGTGGGGGGATACGCGAGTGCTGCATGCACGCAGATGCATTATAATAGGCCAGTGTGGGGCGACATTTAATTTTCGTTGGATAAACAATTTTCGGCATTGTATCAAGCGGTCGCGCGAATTCCTCGGGCGCGCGACTTTTTATCGTACAAATATTGGACGCGCGTTGTCGAGGAGAGCAGTGAAGGAGACGGGGCTAAAAGGAAGATGCTAGATGGACGGATAGATGGATAGATTGGTTGATAGATAGGGAGGGAGCGAGAGGGTAAGAAGGGCGGTGGACGGGGGGTATACGGGGTGGGTGGGGGTGATATGGGGGTAGGGGGGAGAGCGGTACATCTCTACTTCTGCGGGGGCTACTTTTATATTATAATAAAGGGAGAGTAAAAGGCCAACTGCAGCTGTCGGGAACGACGCGAGGAATATCTATTGAGTACCTGCGGGACGGGGTAGTTTATAACCCAACCATGTATAGAGCAGAGTAAAATAAGATGGGTCCAGCTATGCTTTTTTTTCCACCGTCCGAGGAAAGTCTCATAGCCATTGTCTTTTTCTCAGATCACACGTATGTATGTACAGCATGTATATAACCGAGTGCACACTTGTGCGCGCGCGCCCATAAAACGTGCGTGCGCGCACGCATGTGCTTACGCATGTGTGCGTATGCATGAACGCGCGCGCGCGCATGTGTACACAAATAGAGATATGTAAAGCATGCATGGTGTGTAAGTGCATTGCGCTACGTGCATGCTTTCATTTCTTATGGCCATCCATCCTTGTCTTCTTTGTAGCCTCGTCGATGTTAAATGTAAAATTCTGTAGGATTTAAGTTGATGTAGCTTTATGCCTAATAAACAATTTTCATCCCACGTCCCACGATACTTAACATAACAATAGCTGTTAATTAGTATGCATTGCATTATATATTAAAAATAATTCACATTGCTCACATTGAGCTTGATAATCTTAGTTTTTTAATTTATGTACAAATGAATTTTAAGTTTTGTTTAATTTGAAATTTATCAGTTTTATTACATTGAAATCAAATGTTTAATTTCAGTTGTCAGAATATAATTCAGTCTTAATTATAATTATAAAAGATCCTATTGCTTAATTACATTAATATTTATGATTTTTAATATTTAATGTCAGCTGTCAAAATACAATATCATCTCAATGTTTAATTATAAAAGAAATTATATTTATGATCTTTTCATGCAATATTTATTGATAACCGTAAGTGTATGGTGACTGCTTTATGACAATTAAATTCATTACAAATTGATTTTAAATATTAATCTACTTATATATTTATAAACAAAAATACAATGTATATTTTGTTTGATTAATTCATATTATAATCGCTCGACGCATTTTAAAAATTTGTAAAGAATACAATTAATTTCTAATCCATTATTGAAATATTATTTTTTCTATCAGAGTAACTATTACGTATATATTTTTATCATATAATATGATATAATATGTAATAATGGATGTTTGTTTTTTTTTTAAAAAAAATGTAGAAACTACCATGTAATGGAATAAATATCAACAGTCCTCGGAACTAAAAAATGGTTTTAAGTCGAAATGACAAAAGAAAAAGGAAAGAAGGAGACCTTGTGGATCTCATGGATCCATTAGCAGAACCATCAAAAAGGTGCGACAAATTAACAGAACATAAATTTATTCATCTACAAGAGTAATTTGTAACATTTTTCTTTTAATTTTTCATGCAGAACTAAAATACATGCACAAAGAAAATTTGCTCAAGGAGCAGCTACTCCTGTATTCAGTCCTGCAACAACACCAGTCAAGGAGAAAGAAAAAGTAAAACCTACAGTATTTAGAGAATTAATAACGCACAGAAGACCTAATACAGAAGACTTTTTAACATTCCTTTGTTTTAGAGGTATTTTTTTCCTTTTCAATTATGCTGGCATTTTTCATGTTTAATCATATATTTCATAGTTCATTGATAAGAAAATTTTTATGTAAATTAAAGTCGTCAAAGGTGTCAAAGTCTCTTACTTTTAAACATAAATTTCATAACAAAAAGTCTCAATAAATCTTATTCCCCAAAGCATTTTATCGCATTTCATTGACAAAAATTGTATAAACATGTATAATTTTACAATCATACAATCTCATAATCATTATTGTGTAATCTGTAATTATATAATAATTACAAGCGAATGTATATAGTTAGTTAGAAAGTAAGAAGATTACATAAACATTATTAAGAGTCGTTCTTACTGTTTTTAGGCACATCGATATTGCCATCGAGTCTGAATTTCTTCAATACTGCCTCCAAAAAAGACAGGCAGCAAAATGTCTCGAAGTTATCCTTGGCTTCGAATCTTTTTTCCAAAACGAACGCTACGTCTGGAAGATCCACGCCAACGTTTCAAGCCGAAGAGGACACCACTGCAATCGCCCTTTCAAAATCACTCCCAATCAAAGACAAACCTTCCATCGTTCTCAAGAAGCAAGCACCCCAAGCCATTCCAAAGACTATTAAGCTAAAAACAACCAACTCGGCGATCCAAGCTCTAAAGAAGAAATACCAAGAGCAAAGGCTTACCAAGCAGCGACTCAAGAAGAAGTTTAAGCCCACGTGCATGAAAACGCGCTCGTGCGTTGACGCGACAGAACGGCCACCCGAGGACAAACCGCTGCCCATTAAGCTCGTGGAAGCGCCCAAGAAGATGCTCTCTCGCATGGAGAATAAGAGGCTCGGGCTGAGGAGCACCGGTCCAGCCGACGTCGAGAAGAAGATCCTCTTACCCCTCAAGTCCCTGAAGAAGCAAATACCCGTGAAGCTGAAGAAGAATGTGCTCGCGCGAGAGGAGACATCTAGCGTGGAGTCGATGTCGACGAGGAACGGGCCGAGGAAGGCCGCGGGGAAGCTCGCCACTACCAAGCCAATACAAAAGAAGCTCTTCGGCAAAAGCAAAAAGTTCGAGGGGAGGCGCGTGACGCGCTCGCATACAGATGTCCCAGCCTCGCCACCCCCGACGAGTCTGTCGCGCCGGCCAACGAGGAAGACGAAGGAGGCCGCGGCTGTGTACATGGAAATTCTTGGCAGAAAGCTCGTCAGCCCGGAGCTCGAAAACGAGGACAACATGTCACTCGACAGCTTCCCCGAGCTCCCTAACGCGAGAAAGATGGCCCAGACGGAGAACGAGATCAAGGCTAAGGTCAGGTCGCTGAAGGCCGCGGCGAGTGTCGGTCTTACGACCACCGTGCCAACTCCTAAGGAGAAAGAGAAGAAAATTGTTAGCGGTGTCAGGTACGCGAATTTTTAACTCTCAATTTTAACTTAAATTTATGGCCTTTTAACGCGAATGGGTAATAAATGATAAATTGCCTTGCGCATACGATTTCTAATAAAATTACTCTTTCATAATTGCTTGTGTAATGTCCAAACAAACTCATTATCGAGTCCGGCATCTCGAACGCTGACATTATTATAAAGACTTTCATTTAATTTCTATCGATTGGAATTTTTACTCCTTAATATTGCACTCGCGATAGATTATTGTCCGTAAATTCTTGTGTAGATTCTTAAAAATTAAAAACTCTATACACGCACGTTTAATAAGTGCTCCCCCCCCCCCCCCCCTCTCTCTCTCTCTCTGTCTATCTAATATATCTCTAATATCACGAGATTTTCAATTGGAAGGAATTTTAATGAATGTGAACATCCATAAAGTACGACTTAATTAAATTAAATGCTACGTTTTCTTTGTGTACACGCGCGCTTTATGCAGTGGCAACATCAAAGCCGTAAAAAGAAAGCTCGTAAAACAAGTGCTGCCATTAAGGAACAAACGGCTTGTGAAGGTGCAGAAGTATCGCGAAATGAACAGCGACGAGGAGTCCGTCAGTTCGAAGGAGACGAACAAGGGAGGAAAAGCGACCGTGACTTCGAAAAGATTGGCCCTACCAAGTTTGATAAAAAATAAAAAGTTTGAGAATCACAATTTAAGATCCAGTCGTAGTTCAGCGATCGCCAAAATTAATTCTAATGCAAAATTACACGAATCACAGTTCGCTTCCATTAACGATTCCGCGAGATTATCAACGAAAATCGCAGAATCTCAAGTCGCTGCTAAAGATGTGCCGAGGGAAAAGATAACGGCTGCTTTTAAGCGGAAACGCGATTCCATTGCCATTGATAAAGATAAGGATAGGGAAAGTTCTTCGAAGCAGAGAGTCGAGGGAACGAAGAGCAAGGCTAAACAGACGAGTAATAATTCTACGATTGATTCCGAGGAGGAAACCTTGGGTGAAATTTTGAATAAAATGAAGAGGAAGAGGGAAATTGAGAAGGAGGAAAGCGCTAGCGATATAACGACGAAGAAATCGACAGAATCGAAAGCAGCAAAAGCAACGATGACGACAGCTATGGCGATTCAGGATACATTGGCAGCGACGATGAAGACGACGACGACGACGTCGATGACGACGACGACGACGACGACGACGACGACGACGACGATGACAATGGCAACGACGACAACAATGACAACGACGTCGACGACGACGACGACGACGAGGACGACGATGACGACGACGACAATGGTAACGACGAAAACGATGCCGACGATGATGACAACGACGACAACGGCGACAACGACACCAACTACGATGATGACAACGACGACAACGCCAACGATTATGACGACAATGACGACTGCGACTGCGATTACGGCGGCAATCGCGACACCGATTGCCACTGGGACTGCAATTACGTCTATGACGTCGACGTTGAGCACCATCGTCAAGTCCACTACGGTAGAGATGCTGAGGAGCCAGGCCGTTTCGGAGGCAACGACAACAAAGATCTCCGACGACGAGGAATCCTTCCGCGGCTTCACTAAGAAAGCCATCTCCAAAGTGGTAAGCACCTGCCAGTCGCACGTGAAGGCCAACAAATTGATGGAGGAGATCGATATTAAGGCGAACGTGTTCAAGACCCATGGAATAGCCCCGAATATATCGTCAGCCTTGAAGGATCCAAGGAAGTTGGACATTAAGATCTCGACGACGTCGTTTCCCTATATTAAACCAATTCATGATAAGTTGATGAGCGACGGAATAATCCATAATGTAGCCAACGCCTCGGTCAAGCTGGAACCGGACTTTGGAGATTCAAAGGTACGTTAACCTAGAATTTCTTCATTTAAAATATCATTTTTTTGTGTTGTTTTGTTTTTGTTTATAAAGATAGATACAACTTTCTTCTTCTTCTTCTTCTTCTTCTTCTTCTTCTTCCATTTATTGTATTTCATAAACAAGTGTTTTGTAACATAAATTATAACTAATTTCTGTGTAAAAAAAAAAGGTTAATTTCATACGAATGGACGAATGACAAATATTTTACAAAATGTCGTTATTAAATTCATTATTAAAGCAATGGTCGAACATTTCATTTTACTACATTTAATAATTTCGATATTTCGTATAAGTTCGCTCCTTTCATTAATTTCAATTTATTTTATTCGCTGCGCATTATTAAAGGTTTTGACATTTATTACTCGCTATTCTAATATTACATTCAAATAATATCGATTGAATCATAAAACCAGGGTCCTTCCTTCGTAGTGAAATACAATAATTTTGGTGATTTTTATAATACTTTTCACCCTTATTTCTTCAAAGCTTATTATAATCAACTTCGTTCATACGATTCTATTATACGATCGTTTTACGCGATTCTGAATAATGACATCCAAACACACTGCCAGCGAGCTATGTGTACATCAATAAATAAAGTGAAAAATAATAAGAAGATTATTAAACATCAAAAGCGCGATTTCATTATACCTAGGATGTTAAACGGCATTGATCGATCCTCGCACTTACTTCATACTCCTATTGGTCATACGAAGATCATAATACATAATTGCGTGAGATACTTTGTTAAACATATATATTGTAATAACGAGCGATCATCAATATCTCACACGTACAAAATGAATGTTCGGTTATTTAAATTAAATGATTGCTCCATTTAACGCAAAATAATAGAATAAACATAATTATAAATAACGATGTTTGTCATCCCCCCCCCTCTCTCTCTCTCTCTCTCTCTCTCTCTCTCTCTCTCTTTCCACCAGATTCACCTCGCAACTAAACACAAATTATTCAACTTTCAAAGGTATCGTGCACCACGACGGTGCCGCTCAACATCATCGACATATCGAAGACGCTGGGCCACGGGCGCAAGGAGCGCGTAAACATGTCGACGGAGCAGATCGAAAAGTGGCTCAATGAGAGTTCCTTGGCCAAGGAGGAGAGCAAGGTCGAGATGGAGAGCGTGACGAACAACTTCAAGTACGATCCGGGATTGAATAAGCCGAAGAGCGACGTCATGGCGCCGTCGACGCCCATTCACGGACATATCTCGATATCTCCCAAGATTCAGCACCTCGTGAGGCCGGTAAACGTCACCCTCTCCAAGCTCTCGGATCGACTGAAGAAAACCTCGTGTGCCATCAGTTCCAACAGGACGCCCGCTGTCTTCCTCACGAATAGCCAGATATCGTCGGTGAAGCCCCAGACGCCCGTCGGCCCCAAGTCCAAGCTGTCGTCGGACGGGATCTCGAAGGAGCGGAAAGAGCCTATCGTTACACCACCTAGCAGGAAAATGAGCAAGGACTCGTCTTACGGGGAGGATGCAGGTCAGTTCGACTCTTACGTTACTTACGTCGTCAATATAAATATGACTTAACTCGCGGGACTCCGTGATTTAGTTAAGATCCAGGTAAGGGCAATTTATGCCGTATCGTCTTGATAATAAAAATAGCGCGATTCTGGATGCGAGAGTATCGCAAAAAAATTTGTATTTATTCGTCGTGACGTGACATTATCGCTCTCGGCACGTCATTTTCGACAAGTTTTCTCAAAACTTTTTTCTCAGCTGCATCATTTGACAAGATTTTTCTTTTTTTTACGAGAAGGTCATCGTAGTGAAACATTAACAAGCCCTTTTGTAAATGCCCTCAAGAATCAATTCTCTTTCGTCGTTATTTTCGCAGTGACTTTGCAAAAATCGTTGCGAAAATTATTAGAAGCAAGTCCGTTTAAAGAGTGGTAGGAGGGGGGGGGGGTAAAAAGATGGAAAATAATGTCTAATCAAACACTTTGAGACTCAATCGTCATTGAATCCATATTCTTTCACCTACTCGAGCTTGTAAATTCCATATGTATCTTTTCAATGCGTAAGTTTAAATGTGCGTTTGATGTGTGTGCGCAAAGGAAACAAAAGAAGGTTACGAAGCGTGAGAAAGATGATATTGAATTATAAAGTACCTTGTTTGGAAATTGCTCGTTAAGGGTAGTTAAGTAATAATCTGAATTTGTTAATGTATGAAATAAATTTGGTGGTCTATTTTTTCGTCGGCTATATTCGGACATTTTCTTCTAGCTTTTCACAATTTACATTCAGTGTATAGATATTTATGACGTATTCAACGAAGATTCGACGAAGTTACATGGGTTTTACCAGTTATTACGGTTAAGAGTAAATATTAAATTACCTGTAATGACAAAACACGATTCACGAACTTTTGCATCTTTTATTAGTAATTAAAACATCAAGCATTTACATTAAAAATTGGATGGAAAGGATATCGCTATTGTTAGTGACTTCAGTTACATACGCTACGATTAATTATTTTATCTTGGGGAGGGATCGATTGTTTTTTGCATCATTGGCACATAATATAATAGGCATTAAATTAAATGTATAACAAGTAAAAAATTAACTATCAAGGCCATTGGATTATCCAACGTAATCTATTATGCAAACTTCATAGTACAAAAATAACATTATAATATGGAATTTAACATTATACATGTATGTAAAGTTGGCCGTGTGACGTATTAAATAGAAATTGCATTAAAACAAAATATGATACTTTGTCGTCGCTCGTTCTTGTAAATATTGTGATTATTCATCAATAAAGCGTATTGAAATGCAATTAGACAAGGATTATCTTATCATTAATTTTATTGGAGGTTCAGAAGTGAGTGAGTGAGTGAGTGAGTGAGTGAGTGAGTGAGTGAGTGAGTGAGTGAGTGAGTGAGTGAGTGAGTGAGTGAGTGAGTGAGTGAGTGAGTGAGTGAGTGAGTGAGTGAGTGAGTGAGTGAGTATGATATGACAGATTGTATTTTAAGAGGAAATGTCAAAAGCTTTAAGCAGCAGCTTTGGTTGAAAATGAAAGTATACGTCGGCTCGATAACGGCGCAACAGCGATTAAAAGCGCATGTGGCGTAAGCACGGCAAAAAAGAAAAAAGAAATAAGAAATAAGAAAGAAAGAAAGAATATTGCAAATGTCCGGAAAGAAGGGAAGGGAAAAACAGTAGAGAAATGGTCTGTCGACTCCCGCCCAATGTATGCCAATCGTATGTTGCTTACAGTCGACAACGATGCGATATCGAAGTCGGATGCGAATTCCGTGGGCGACTCGTCGGAAAGGAAGTCGCTGAGCAGCCCCGAGAAGAAGGTTTTTTTTCATCAGCGAAAGCCCTTTCTGCCGAAGGTAAAGGAGCGGAAGGTCGCCAGCAGCGCGTCGGCCTTCTCGCCCGAAAACGAAAGTAGCGTGTACGCGTTCGAGAGCGAAGCCGAGGCGCCCGTCAGTACGCCCTTTCGCAGGAAGACTAAAGAGGCTGCCGCCAAAGACAATCACGGTTCGTTAACCCATCACTTTTTATGCTAGCGCCGCCATAGATAATGCCACGAGGACGAGCTTCCTCCGCCAACTCCACGACCTCCTGCTCCCCACTTGCGAGTCTTCTGGTCTTTTGCTCCGCATACAGACACATATTTAGTTATAATAGATATTGCAACCTCGGCTCTATCCCCCATCCCACCCACCCACCCACCACCCATCCCCACCCACCCTATCCCCCATCCCACCGACCCACCCACCACCCATCCCCACCCACCCTAATCACCAATCACCAATCACCAAAAGTGGACGTTCTTATTAGTGTTTAATTTTATTATCTTGGGTAGAAGTGTCCGTAACGTATTGCCATTAATTCTCGATTTACCTTGATCGCATAATCTCCAACTAACGACCTTCGATTCATTCTACCCTCCTCTGGCCAATTTTTTTCCCAAAACTCTTTAAGCCTTTTATTTACGCAATAACAGCAACAACTACAGCTACAATTACAGCTACAATTACAGCTACAGCTACAGCTACAGCTACGGCTAAAGACACGCTCGTGTCAGAAACGTCTAAATTATGCGCATTATTAAGTAGTCGCTTATCCTATTTGCAGCTTATTGTGTGCTTCGAATGGTTGTGTCGAGCTCGGATAAATCAGAGTAAGTAATTTCCGGGAAATTAGTGTAAACACACGAGCTGCTAATAAGTGTAAAATTGAAATCGAAATTATGTTCCATTGGCTTCTTAACCGGTTGTTAAGCGATTTTAAGCAACAACTTGCAAGTATACAATTATTCGCTTTTTATAGTTTAGTTAATTTGAACGCAGTATTGTATTTAGCTGGTTATAGATTAATCGGATAGCCCGACATTAATATTGGATAGAGTAATTGTGTCCTTTTTTCTTTGTCACAGGGATTGCCGAGAAAAAGTGTAAGCCGGCAAATAGCGAAGCGAAAAATAAGAGTGGCGAGGAAACAAAAGTGACCGAGCCTTTAAACTCGCCAGAGGAAGCTCGGAAGGACGAAGAAAAGTCGCCTCCGCTGTTAGAAAAAACAACTCCAAAGAACTTCGAGCTTCCGAAAAACTTCGCAGATTTAACAAATATACAGGTGAGTTAATAATGCGAGTGTATTTTTCATTCCCCTTGCAGCAATGCCCATTGATGGTTTGATTCGCGCGTGACCAAATTTTAATGGTTCGCAGGTGTTACCACTAGACAAACTAACAACAAGTTGGAGTAGCGTAAATTGTAGCGCTTCGATAGCCGTGCAAGTCAATCTGGACGACCAGAAGCAGCAACAAAAACAACAACAAAAAAAGGAACAGTCAACAGCGGAGAGCAACAAGGAATCTAATGTCAGCCAGAAAAGTACCGAGATCTCGACCCAGACGGACGCCAACACGGACAACGACGATGACAACGACAGCGGACAGCTGTTCTACATTCCCCTCCAGGCGGTAACGCGCAACACGTCCGCCCAGGGCGGACAGCAATTGATCCAGGGTGTGGCGGTGAAGCTGGGTACCGAGGGGCCCACGGGACCCAATCAGCGCGTTCTCTTGAAGGCAAAACTCGTGACAAAGCCACCGATATCGGTAGCCAGATGTCCACCGATCGGGACTGTACAGCCGACCGCGAGGTTGCCGCAGAACGTCAACAATGAACAGATCGACGTGCCGTCGACGTCCGCGCATAATTTGTCGGCTGAGGCCTTGAAGCTTCAGACGCCCGAGGAAAAGGCGGCCAGAGGCACGAACATCGCGTCGAAACTTGTAAGTGACAAACATTATTATTACGATTGCCGACCAATGAGTGAGGCATGCGCTTATTGATTTTTATTCGGATAAGCCATCCTCGCTCCCTATAATTATCATTAACATTACGTTAATCCTTCTTACTCCCCACGTTACTTACACGCCAACGTTCAACAATTATTTTCACGGTTTACTTAGATTTTAGTTGCACGTGCGATCGCGTATGATTTTTATAATCGCGACTATTGATTTTATTCCGTTTTAGCTTAAGTCGGCAAAAGGCAAAGAAAGAAAACTCTTGAGCGAGACGATAAAGCCAGGGAAGAAGGCTCACGTAAAAGCAAAAAACACTAATGCTTACGCGCCAATAAATAAGACGAAATTTCCAAAAATGAGGGATTCGAATGACGTGGCTCGTCTCGTAGAGGCTCCAATTTTTCGTCCTTCGGAGAAGGACTTTCAAGATCCACTCGAGTACATCGAGAAGATACGCCCAATCGCCGAACAATTTGGAATTTGTAAAGTAATTCCACCTTCGAATTTTAAGGTAAGTTTTTTAGAATAACGCACCATTAATGTATGACATAAAATGTTGTATCGAATATTAAAAGAAAACGATATATATATATATATATATATATATATAATAATAATAATAATAAAAAATAAAATGTAAAAATTATTTCAATTACAAAGAATTAACTAATGAAACACCTACACTGTACGCTTACTGCTGAAAAGAATAATTTTATTAAATTATTTATCTATATGATAATATTTAAAATATTAAAAATCCTTAATATTGTAAGTTGAGGCATTTTGTGACTAGATTATTGGAATGTTATTTGCAAAATGCGTAAATATTAATGTAAGTAACCTTCATACCTTTAAATTTTAGCCGGAATGCAAAGTTTCGGATGATATGCGGTTCACCGCTTATAATCATTACGTTCATCGTATGCTTCATCGTTGGGGCCCAAATGTCAAAGAAATGATGGCCATAAAAAAATATTTAGCCACGCAGAGCATAATACTCACTCAACCTCCATGGGTATTTATTTAGTCGATTAAGCATTATTAATCTCCACTTGTCTTATCCACCTTTCACAAGAAGATCGACAATCTCATGTGTCAAAATGAATTTTTTAGGTCGGTGGCATGGAAGTTGATCTGCCGCACTTATATCAAACTGTACAAAATTTGGGCGGCTTGAAAGAAGTCATCGAAAAGAAAAAATGGCAAAAAGTTGCGGAGGGCATGAAAATACCCAGATCGGCTCAAGATCGTATCACTAAATTGGATGACATATATTGCAAATATTTGCTACCTTACGATACCTTGTCACAAAGTAAGAATATTTTCTTCGACGATGATCATTTGCATTGTGAGATTACAGATTTTTACACGAATACTTGGAGATAAATATGTTTGTCGATGTACAATGTTGTTTGCATGATTATTTTGACGATTGTCGTTAAATAAGAAGTAAGAATAGGAATAGTACGTTGCATTTACTAGTAAATAAAAATTAATAGTAAATATAAATATAAGATTGTAGTCGCGAGAATAAAATAGTAAACAATTTTTCTTTGTAATTTCTCATATTATATATATATATATATATATATATATATATATATATTTATTTATTTTTTAGACGAACGAGATAAATTATTTAAAGACGTAGAAGATGATTGGATGAAAAGGGAGAAACAAGAAAAACCGGAGGAATCGCAGTCCGTTGAGAACGAGGATGACGAAGAAGAAGATAACGTGGATGAAATAGAGGAATGCATTGTAAAGGTAATTAGTTGCAATTTTATTGCTTCTTTAAAATTAATCATCAAAGAGCAGATAGATTGCACATATAAAATGAGAATAAAAATGATTTCGCTTCACTCGACTGTGTCAATAGTACTTTCACTTGTTATTATGGATTACCGTATCATTAACATTATTCTCTATTATTGGTACTATTGTTGTTGTTTGTTGATGTTGTTGTTGTTGTTATTGTTGTTGTATATATTGTTGTTATTATTATTATTATTATTATTATTATTGTTATTGTTATTGTTATTGTTATTGTAATTGTTATTATTATTACATGATAGAATAAAATAATCTAATGGGTTAAAAATCAGGGGATAATGTTGTACTATGAAATAGCGTGTGCCTCTTATAGTCGGGAATATCACGCCTTTGACAAAAATGTCTTAAACTCTCGCAATATTTGCAAGACATTAATAACTCGTATGCTTGTTGGCACATGAAAGGGTCGCAACATGCCGCTGAATGCGTTCTATAGGATCGCCCGGAATACGCAACGCATGTGGTTTGGCGAGACGCAGCGCTCGACGAACGAAACGGACGGACCATCGGCCGAGGAAGTGGAAGGCGCATTTTGGCGGCACGTCGTCGAGAAGAAGCGCCACGTCTGCGTGCACGCGGCGAGCATCGATTCAAGCGGCCGTGGCTTTGGCTTCTCCGTCGCCAAGAACAGTCCCTTTGCCCGTCATGCTTGGAATCTCAAAGTTCTTACGAATAACGCTGGCTCCGTTCTTAGGGCACTCGGACCACAGATGGGTTGGCATTTCTATTTTCGATGCATCATTTTTATTCGAATTTAATCGTTAATAGCAGACTATTCTAACGAGTTTATTTATCATTGAATCAAGTGTGTAATACTACGAATACATTGAAATAAATCAGCCTACAGCTTATGCTTTATTGATTGAAAATTCAATTAGCTTATTGCGTTCTTTCATTCGTATATCAATTTATTCAAGTACGTTGATATTGCGCATACCGATTAGACATTAGATAAAAATAACGACAATATTAAATTTATAGACCTAAGGGTTTATCGATGCTTATGGCAATTTAATTTATACGAGCTTCAGTTCTTGAAATGCTAGCAATCAATTATTGCCTCAACCATTGAGTTGTTCCAATTGTTATTTGGTTGAAACGTAAACTCGATTTTTTCACCTCGGATAGTTAGTTATTCAATCGTATAATTATTATGCTTTCATTTCTTATCAGCAGTGATCACACGAAAACGCAGCAACTAAATTATAATAACATTGTACATAAGCGGTTGACGATATCATAAAATCATACGTTATTCTCTTTGATTTATAAGAACATTGTAGTAAGCTTAGTATCGTACATGATTGTAACGACATATAATGATGTTACGCGCAACAGTTTAATCAATGAAAGCAAATTCGAGTTAACGTCATTACTACGAATGTAGTTGTAACAATAAATAATTATAAATACACAAAAAAAAAAAAAAAAAAAAAAAAAAAAAAAAAAAAACGATTCGTGAAAATTGAAGGCGAGAGTGGATAAAGTTATTAAGCTTTAGCGTATTTATTGTAGAGGGAAATAAGCAATTGGGTAGTCGATTAAATTTTTGGACATACGGCTTTAAAATGTATAAAGTCCATTTCAGATTATTACATCATTAAGAATAGCATTATTAAAAAGATTTTATTCGTCACGTTGTTCGAATAGTTTTTCTTCGTCAAGACGCAAAAAATTAAGACGATTCGTTTCTAAAAGTTCACATCTAAGCTGCGCTTTTTCGTAGATTTATAAATATATTGAACTGAATTATATGTATAACATTAGCTACTCGTAGACATAATCATTACATTGAAATAATGCTTTATTTAAAACACTATAGAGACATTAATCTCATGCAATAATTGGGGAATATCAAACATAATCGCAGGCTAACTTAATTGGTTAATTGGTCATTCGAGGACGAACTTTTAAAATGTAATTTAAAAGGCAGCGAGCAGTGGCCTTGGCACATGCATTAACGAATAAACATAATGTCGATAAAGGCGTGACGGTGCCGACGCTACACGTGGGGATGCTGTTCAGTGCTTGCTGCTGGTATCGCGATCCCCATGGACTGCCCTGGATCGAGTATCTGCACACGGGGGCGAAAAAAATCTGGTACGGGATCCCCAACGAGCGAAGCAGCGCGTTTCGGAAGGCGCTGGCTACCATGTTCCCGCGCTACTGCAAGAACAAGACTATTTGGTTGCCCTCGGACACGGCGATGGTGCCGCCCGACATGCTCGTGAGCAACGGCGTGCCACTCTGCCGGACGGTCCAGGAGCCCGGGCAGTTCATCGTCGTGTTCCCCAAGGCATTTACCTCGAGCATCGGCACGGGCTACGTCGTATCCGAGAGCGTGTACTTTGCCCAGCAGTCCTGGCTCGAGAACGCCGAGCAGATCTTTCAGGTACTTGTCATTCGTCATCGCTTCTCCTTATTTCCACGTTTCGTCGTCACTTGGAACGGCAAACTCTTATATATTTCTGTGTGACGAATAATGGTATTTCGCTCTCGATTAGCCAACTTACCATGAGATTATTAATCCTATCGTAAGCGGAAGATTTTTTTTTTTTTCATTCACGTCTTTTCGATCCTCGCGATTTGCGAGGCGAATTATTTTTGCCTCTTAATTTAAGTCGGACAATCTTTTAGGAACGCTGTACGGGAAATTATTTAATCGCCGGGATCTCTATTCGATATAAAAACGGTTAAAGAAAATTCAATACAAAAGTTTGTCCAGTCTTTTGAGTCTTAAAAATCTTAAAAGGTCGCAGCACTTTTGAAAACAAAAATATGCATTAGTATGGAAAACCATTGAAACGATGATGGGAATTTCGATAGTCTAGTTATAGTAGTTTACAAGAGTTTATACAATCTCGATGCATACGATAAAATGTAATTTAGAAAAATCAACTTTTTTTCCCCCATAATGTCACATTATTATTTAATTCTAGGACATTCATGATAGTTGCGAACCTTCGATATTTTCCTTCGAAAGATTATTATTCAGCATTATTAATGACTCGAGATCTCACATCGAAGTACTTAAGCAGGTAAGCGTAATCGATAGAAAGGGGCGCGAGATGCCCAAGGTGAGATTATTAATGATTATTAATGATCATTTTCTTACTTTTTTTTTTTTTTTTGTTTTTTTTTTTTGTTTTCTTTCTCCAGATTTTACCGACTGTTATTAGAATTTGCGCTAAAGAGATAGAAAATCGGAAAAAATTGAAAGACTTGGGGCTTACAAATATGGAAAAACTACCACTGCCAGAAAGCGAAAAGAAACGGAGGGGTAAAAAAGTAAAGAAAGAAGAAGGCGATTATGAATGTGATATTTGTCGAGAAAATTTATTTGTTTCTGTTGTAAGTAATCCCGTAGATGAAAGTATTTTTTGCCCAACTCACGCAATACCATATATAGAAAGAAAGAAACAAATGTTGAAAAATTGCATATTAATGTATACGTACAGTGAGGTGAATGAATTATATTTTTTTTCGCAATATTGAAAAATTCGTTTTATTTAATATCGATAATTATTTCGCAGAGTGAACTGAACGATCTTATTCGCAAGCTGAAGGACAGGATCGAAGCCAAATCTAAAAAAACTAATCAAATGAAACAAACTAAATAGAAAAAAAAAAAAAAAAAAAGAAAAGAAAAAAAAGGCAAAACAAATTATTTATTCGATAGATGATTGTAATTTATAAACTTGATTATATCTGATTGTATTAGATAATATCACCAGAAAAATTTAGGTCTGTCAAAAGAGATTATTTCTCAGAGATTTTTGACAGCCTGCTCAAAGTAGTGGACAATTTTTATGTCACAGTGATAAAATAAAACAAACTAGGGTTGTTAGAAAATGAGAATATTACTTTTTAGAGAAAAAAAAAAAAAAAAAAAAGAAGAAGACTTAATTAATGCAAGTGTTTTCACTTGCTTTATAAAACATAGTTAATCTATGTATGTATTAGTCAATTTGTCGTAGGTTTCTGAAATATTTCTATTAACAAAAAGAAAAGAAAAGAAAAAAAAAGAAAATGAAAAAAGAAAGACGAATAAAAAATGAAAGAAAGAAAGGAAGAAAGGAAGAAAGGAAGAAAGAAAGAAAGAAAGAAAGAAAGAACGAAAGAATGAACAAAAAAACGAAAAAATGATTTCCACGCACTGCCTATTAGTTGTGTGATCGAGACTTACAATGTTATTAACTGCCGCTTAATTCAATAGGTCGCTAAAATATATAATATCTAGTAAATTTTGTAAAGATTCTTAATTGTTTATAGATTCGAAAGTGACATGTATTATTAGTGAGATTAAGCTTTTATTCCTAAGATTTATAAGCATTTATGTAAAAATAATAAATACGTTTTTTATCGAAGCGTTTTTACGGCGAATATGATACTATACATTATAATCGAAATTATTTTTTAAATTTTTTTTAATTTTTTTTTTTTTTTTTTTTTTTTTTTTTAATCTTTTATAAATTATTTAAAATTTACCGATGATCTCTTTTTATATGAAATTGTTATGAATGTCTAATGCGTGATGTTAATTAAATTTTATTTTTATTTTTATTTTTTATTTTTTTGTTTTATTATTATAATTTGGAATATCTCGACATACGCAATTTCTTATAACTATACACTAATAAAACAATTTATGATAAATATCATCTACTTGTATATATTTAATTTTTATTAAATATATTCGACATTGTATATTAAGAACATTGATTTTTTCTTTTTTTTTTTTTTTTCTCATGAAATTTTAAAATACTTTCAGATACTACCAAGATATTATTTTCAATTTCAATAATTTTATAATTATATTGTTTATGTATAAGAAATCTATTACAAATGCAATACATTTATATTATTATGTTTGTCAAGAGGAGTTCTATTAAAAAAAAAAAAAAAAAAAAAAAAATTTATTTCAACTACGTTTACCGTCATCAAAAAACCTACTTTAACGTTTATAATATAATCCTTTAACAAAGAATATACAAATATGAACGTTATTGTATTTATTTTGTAAGTATTATATTACTTAGCGTACAATAAATAATAGTGGCATACTCGTATCGAATATTGAATTTTAAATGCTTATAAGGTTTTAGAAATTCTATCGAATATGCTCATTGAACAATAATGTATTTTAATGATTTTCCAATGAAACGCTCAAATTACTTTTAAGCGTATCACATTAATCTATGAAATAAAGGGCGAGAAATAATTTAAGCATCTCATTGATGTTCGATAAGATGTGCTTTGGAAACATAATTGGCAAACTATCATTCGTAAATGAATTTTTATCGTCTTTAAATAATTTTTAATAATTTTTAGTATATTGTTAAGCTATGCAGTATAGTAATACAAACGTAATACAAGTGAAAGTAGATTTTTTTCGAGCTTATTTAATCAGAATGTTTTTCTTTTTCGGTAGCCTTAGCCTCAGTTTCGTACAAAATGAGTATTTCATAATAGAAAAATCACTCATAATACAAAATATATTAACTTAATATTTATTCAAATATGTTACATAGGAATCCCGATAAACAAACGACGAGGAAGAATACTAATCACAGACAATGTTCAAAAGTAAATGGGCAGTAATTATTAAAATAAAATACAGTTATATATAATATTACCAAATATTTTACATACTTCTATTTGTAAAATAAAAAATACAATTGCATATAACTATATTTTATTCATTTGTAACGCATTTAAAAATATAAGTATCGATTATTTTATAACAATTCATATTTTTGTACATTTGTATTAAGCCCATTGTTTAAATTTTAATATGGCAGCTTTGATACTAGAATGAGAAGACGTTGAAATTAAAAATTTCAACGTTGGTAAGATGAACTTTTAACAAACTCTTGATAATGGAAAATGAATATTTTACGTAAAATCGTAGAATATTTCAGAATGTGCAACTTGGAAAATTCTTAATCCACACGTGCGCGCTCACACATATACATGAGCCTGTAAACACACGATGGGTATACATAAATGCATAAGTATAATCATTGGTACTAATTTGCTTTTGGAGTGAACCAAAGAGGACGCTTTCATTGTATTCAATAACTTTAAAACATTCATATCTTATCATCTAATGACTAAACATATTAATAGTTATTTAGGTTTATGCGTAATAAACACTCTTATAAATGTATTTTCACTTAATAGTTGAAAAACAATGAAAACGTTAATACTCTTAGGAATGTCAAAATCATAAGTTACTGTATTGTGATAAATAAGAAAAAAAAAAAAAAAAAAAACTAAAAATTGCATTCATTCTCTTCTTTGCAAGATACTAGATAATAATTCTTTTGAATTTTCTATTCTAAATTCGTCATCTTCATCCGAGCTAAAATTGGCATTAAGTAAATTTGTTAATGAACTTGATTTCTGCATTATGAGCGGAAGATTAGTGTCAATGGCTTCGTCGGACTTAGAACAGCTTGTAGTTAATGAATTTGACTGTAGTTCTAACTCATTGATCGATTCCTTTTTATGTATCATTATTTTTTGTATTACATGTAGAATTATTCCGCCAAGGCACATAAGTAAACCTATAAAATTAAGGCCACTCATTTGATCTCCTTTCCATTCGTATGCTATGACCAGAATGCATATTTCCTAAAATATTCATTATGTTAAACAAATTTCACAATAAACAAATAAAAAAAAAACAACAACAACAACAACAACAAACAGTAAGACACTATATTCTATGGAGATAATTACAGAGATAATGGCAAAAGTTTATCTTTCACTTTCGACTGTAATTATAGTGTTTTTGCTATTTGAATGTTATGTGAAATGAAACCGAACCTTTTCACATAAGGTTAATAAAAAAATTATTTTAGTCGTTATTTTATTAGTATTTTATGGTAAATATTATGATAAAATATAACGTAATTTTTCATTGACTCTTTTCTTTTTTATCCTTTTTCATAGAGATAGATAATAATTAAGTGAAAAAATTCCAAACGATTAGTTACGACGCGAATGGGATCGATTAGAAATTTACCTTAAATATTCCAGATACGGATAAGGTTAGACTAGAACCATAAGTAACAACCAAAAACTCCAAGACTTCCATGCTAAATGCTAGTATAGCTCCTCCGATAACAACAAATATTGTTGTTATTATAAGCGAGTAATTGCTCCAATTAACATTTACAAGGCCGTTGTATATGTCAGTTCCTTCGACCACTATGGATATGGGAAAAATTGACATTAACATCCATGGTTGCATATAGTATATCATGTCGACTGGATTTTTTAATCCAAGTTTTGACTTTTGCATTATAAGCTGTGCCATTGTCCAGCGAATTCCACTGGTAAATGATGCGAGGAGACATAATACGAAACCTAATAAATTGAAGTCTGTCGACTTGTAGGTAAACATTACCAAACCACTTGATATCATAAAAACTATTCCTCCCAATACCCATGACTGGAAAAATAAATTTTACACATTATTGTATAGATATTTAAGAGAGATAAAATTTAAAAATTTAAAAGAGTTAATAATTAATATGAATTGAAATTACGCCAAACTAGCGAGTAAGTTCGATTAAATTATATTTAAACTCTTAAAAATTTTTGTTTCGCATTAGTTCAAAAGCAAGATATTTACTTTTTTTTCCAAATTAAAAAGAAGGGCGAATCCAAGAATAAAAATAATCGTGGTTGATTTTGTCATAGTGTACCTTGAAAAAAATTTTTTTTTTTATTATTTTTTGTTTATGCATACATTTCATCGTATTTATAATCATATAGAAAATAAATTTACATTGACTAAATAAACCATACAAGATCGTAATGAATATTTTTATCAATACATTATAATAATATCAAAATATCTTAGAATTTTAAATATGAATTCAGATAACGTTATATGTGAAATGATGGCATCAACGAGCGGAAATCATTAAATTTTTACTATGGGCATGTGGTTTCATTGAACATAGCTATCGGTAAGCATTTGTTGTTGTTTTTGCATTTGGTTATTAATGTCATAATTGTAAAACGCATTGGACGCTTGTTGGGCCACGATAACAAAAAAATGTAATATTTGTATTTGCCAATATTTTGTTGATTTTTTTTGTCTGGTTTTTCTTATGTGAAAGTGCGTAATAATACTCACAGAGACATTGTGATAAGTGACATAGCCCAATTTGAAAATCCAATGTCTAAGCCACTGGCGATTCCAGGCAGACTTAAGGTCCATACAATATTTTGCCAAGATAAGCGACAAATTTGCTGCTGCGTTTTGCAGCATTTTCTTACATATCTTATGAAGCTCGATAATAAATATTTTAATACCAGATGACAGCTTACCACAAATAGCGGGTAATTTAATTTCTATAATAAGTTTGTTCGTTACAAATTTACATACGTAATTATTATCAAAAGCTTCTAATGTATCGATTATTAACGTACATAAGTTCCATAAAGCCATTTCTGATAGAAGGTAAGTCCAATGGAGAGCACAAAGTAAACGGATATTAAGATTATAGTTTGCATCATCTTGCGCCAAAAAATGGCTTTCTTTGAAAGAGTTTGATATTCTTGTGCATGTTGGGCAAAGTAATTATTTGTATCTTCGTCGTCTCCGGTAAGTTCATATTTGATATTCGATCTTGGCATATTTTTCTTAGAGCGGTGTCTGGAAATAATTTGCAATCACGCACAAGCAATATATAATGGAATATCTTAAGGCTACGCGTTCATAGCGTTAAAAATAAATATATATCAGAAGTAGTTGGATTCCTAGGAAGTAAGGCATAATCAAGTGCGTTAATCATTATCGATACGTTGTTTAATTACCTTCAGTCCATTTAACTAATATGGAAAGTAATTGCTGGGCAGTTATTGGCATAAATGAGCTGTAATGTCATGGGCTTGTATCACCTGAAATATCTTCGCCATATCCAAGTACATGTCATAACGTCGACGCTCTCGGCTGTAAACCAAAAGTACTAATGGACTTACAATTCATAATCTTGGAAGCTTGCCATTAGCTGTTAAAATAATCGTCGAGCTTACAGAAGCGCAGAAATTAATCCTGAAAATGCATTGTCTACATAATCTAATAATGACAATTGCGTAAAACTAAGCTTTGATAGCTTGTGGCTTATCGACAAGTTTAAAGGTAAATATTTTCTCGCATATGTTCCTTGGATAGAAAAATGTTCTATCCATCTTATTTTCCACTTTTACTCTCGCGTATAATGTATAATAATGATAAAATACCGCTGCCAAAGTCTCGTGAAATGAATTTAATACGAGTGGATGATCTCAAATCTAAATAATTTGCAATAATTTTGAGTAATTATGGCCTCATTATGATAATGTTAGCTGTGCAGATATGTAATAGAAAAGTAAATATAACCTCGAGTACGGAATGTAGTCGACGTCGACGCGTTGTCGATCGAATATGTTCAGAAGGAGCTACGATAGCAGTGTGGATCAATCGGATATTTCCCGGCTCCAAAGCTCCAACTCTCCGTCTCATCGACTCTCCTCCCAATGCCAGCTTCACCAAAACAACGGCTGCATTGTCCTTTAATGCTTAGTAGCGATAGTCCGAAATCTCAAGTCCGTAGAACGTGCGCGTGGCATTATGTGGAAATATGGTCGGCTTAGTATGGCGTGTAAGTGCCAATGATGATATTTTTCACATAAAAATCTATAAATACAGTGAGCAAGCATTACAACGCGTATCGCAAAGCTTGGTATTTGAATTTTGTCGAAGAGGCTTGGGGAGATAGAATTTGGAGAAATTTTGCGAACTTTGCTGTCGTTCTAATGTATAAGGCAGCTTAACGCGCCGTAAGAGAGAGAAAAAAAAATTCGGAATACGTTGAAAGAAAAAGTATCGTGATTCATAAGCGAGATGGAATTTATGATTATTATTACGTGTTAATATTATTAGTTTTACAAGATAGCGATAAAATTGTGTTTTTGCGTTGCGAATTTATTGAAGTTTTAGTTGAAAAAAAAAAAAAAAAAAATAAAAAGCATAGGGATACTTGACAAGAGTAGAATACAATTATAATAAGCAATTAGAAAAAAATATACTTACTCTTTGCTATCGATCACTTACTTTTTCGCGTATATCCTGAAGGATCAAAGGCTTTTTATTTTATAGTCTACAGCAATTTGTTCGATCGATCATATACTCTCGATGATTCCTCGAAAGATCTCCTATTATTTATTCGATAATTTCGTTTAATTTTTTCAAATGCTCGTAATCTATATTGACACGTTAACCGAAAACTTCAACGAAAAGGAAAATCTCTCTCTCTCTCTCTCTCTCTCTCTCTCTCTCTCTCTCTACGAGCGATAAAGTTACGTGGTAAATGCTGCTTTTTTCAAATAATTCAATCTAGAGATGATAAATACATTTCCTATCAATAATATGAATAAAATAATATAAATTTTTTCCCTTTCCTTGTTTTTCATTATCATAATAATATTAATGATTGTTATTATAAGCAGCGAGCATTGTAAATATATGTATTATTAAACAATAATAAATTTATAAAGTGGTTGGACGTGAGTTTCAAATTGATTATAATAAATAAAATTTCTTTACAAACAAATGACAAATGCTATTCGCTCACTTGACAACATTTTTTTTATTACCATTTAACTGATATATCATTTATTTATGATACTTCACATGCATTCAATTATTTTCATTTACGATTAAACCTAATCATTTTTGTAATGAAATAATGACAAGCTATTAATTATTAATTATTATATGATTATTGAACAGCATTTAAAGGAAAATCATTAAATTATGTTAAATGCTTAAAAATATGTTGCGCTTTAATTTTTTTCAGATTTTTTTAGTAAAACATCTCTTCGTTTGCCTCGATCTTATGGTTATTGTATAAAAATTTTCATAATCCATTATCTCGTATGTAATTTCACATTTATTAAAATACTCGATTTTTCTATCATTTTTTAAACATCGCATATTTGCATTAATTAATCGCACTACTTTTTACATTCTTCTTTGTTCTCTTTCTATTGTGATTTTTGCCAAATTTTCTTAACACACTAATATTCTTAATCATTTGAATTTCTTTACCTCGTATAAAAAAAAAAAAAAAAACAGCCTCGCGATCTACTTGGAAACACTATTATTATTGTAATATTAACTAATGGGGCGCGTTAAAAAGCTTCTCTATCAAATTACAATAAAATGACAAATGTAATTGATATTACAATATGTCTTTTTAATTAAACGCAGACATAAGATGTGACCGATAAAGTAAGTATTACTTTTTTTTTTTTTTTTTTTTTTATTTTATTCATATCGTTTAAATAGTATTTTTATCTCTTATCTCGAAAAAATGGCCCAACTGTTAAAAATTGAAGTGCTTATTATTGAAAATTTTTAATCGTAACATTTAGTAAAATTATTTAAACATCCGATAAATATTATTAATAAAAACAAAACGAAAAAAAATTTTAAAAAAATTAAAAAATTAATTACGACATGGCATTCGATTAGAAAATTATAATTTCTATAGATTTGCGGGAACGTGATGTTTTTCTTTTTCCACAAGAACTACTACCTACAACACGTTTACGCATCTCAATTTTTTTTATGTAATCTCTCTCTCTCTCTCTTTTTTTTATTTTTTTTTTTATGTATTGTGTTTAGAAACATGTTTTATCATAATAATGGTAAATATTGCTTAATAAAGGAATAAAATATTAGCTAAACGAGTCCAAACAATCTATAAGATTCTAAGTAATTTTCACTTATTTTGTGTACTGATATTCATTTTATTTTGTCACATTGAAAGGCTTTTTATAAATAATTGTAATATAAAAACGAAAGGTTTTTAAAAAATGTGTGAAATAAATAATATAAGTTGCAATTTCTTTTATATTTGATTAAAAATAATAAATATTGATCAAAATTTTCTTACAAAAAAAATTAATTTACACAAGTAATAACACTTAATCAATGTATTTCCAGTAATAATGATATACGTGATAAATGATCACAGTAGTACTTTGCAAAATTTGATATATTAATATTTCTTAAACCTACGATTATTTTGTTTCTTTTAAGAAATAATTTAGTATCTCAATACATTTAATTAAATAATCTTAACGTAGATCATATTTAGCTTTTTTATTAACTGAAAAAAATATATAACGATAATAAGAATTATGATAATACCGTATAAAAGCATATAAGTTTATTAAGAATAATCTGAATAAAAAATTCAGAAAGCGAAATTGATTTTTATCGATTCATTTCATTAAATATATTTCATATAAACAATAATTTACTTCCACTCTTATTCCACAATATTAATAAAAAAAAAAAATTTATTGCTTATAATAGAAGAGTAATAAGTATAAATGATTGTTTTTTCTAAACTTAATTGCACGAATAGTTGATATAATTAATGGATGAGGTAAAAAATCATGTATAAATTGAAGTTATTAAAAATGATTTATTTTTTTCTAAATAGTTTTTCAGAAATAAAAATGATTTCTTCTTAAAAATTAAATATATTCTTACATAAACGTTCAAGTCTGAAAATTACAATTTTTGTTTTACGCAATCTACAATGCGAATAATATTAATGTTCCATAATGTTTTAAAATAATAGTTAATTAAATGAATTGCTTAATTAAATATTGACAAGGAAAATATTAAATAAAAAATCTTACATTTTAGAAAATGTTCTTAAATTTTTGAAGATTTAATTTTAATCTTAGTACAACATACTATAGTCATTAATTTATATGCACTTTCGTCGAAATAATATCATCTCCACGAACACATTTTATCGTATTATTATTTTTATTCAAGTTTCGCAATTCCAGTTCCCCGGCTTTACATTTCATTTTTTAGCTAAATTTAACTAAAATTACGTATGTTTAGTAAGTACCTACTTTTATTTAATATTACAATTTTTATTCATATCATATTTAAGAAACTTTTTTTTTTTTTAAAGTACATCTATGTTAAATTATGCAAATATCCGTTAATATTTTCCAATTAGTCACACGTGTAAAAGATATGTATTGTAAGATAAATATTTACATTATTTATGTTTATTATGATACTCATACTATTGTTGGCTAATAGTGATAATGAACAATAATTTTCATTTAATTTCGAATTTATTTGAAATTAATTTTTTCATGTTGTATATTTTACAATTAATTTACATTATTACACTACGATTTCTTATTAATTTTTCATGCAATTGTTGTAACAAGAGTATTCAATAAAATGTGTGTGGTGCCGCGCGGGTGCGCGGGGGGGGGGGGGTGGGCGGCGATCTGTGTGCATGCAGGCCATTTAAAATTATTTTTTAATGTTTGAATATATCATGCAAAACAGCTTTAAAATCTGTAATATTATTTTAGTTTAAAGTTCAAGCGGTAAATGTAATTTTCATATTTGCATACATAAATTAAAAGACTTTAATGTTAAGAAGCTTTATAAGTAGTAGCATATAGTATATAATATATATATATATATATAGTATATAAAAATAAAATTTCGTTAATTAGTATTAGTAATTATTGTACAACTATAGTAAGAAAATTATACAGTAACAAAGATAATTTATAATTTATAAATACTGTACTTATTTTAATACTACATAGTTTATATGTCGTTTTATATAATTCAAGAATAACATTTACTTAATAAAAACTCTATTTGAATAAAATCTTAGTGCAAATAAATGTTCTATTGTATTTATTAATCTATTATATTACAAAAATGCAGATATTCAGAGTTCTTTTAAATTTATATAATTTACGAAATAAACATTAAATAATAAAGTCTTTTATGAAAATATTTGTTAAAAAAAATTACACACACACGCACACACGCACACACACACACACACACATATATATATATATATATACACATATGCACATATATATAACCTGTAAGCATGGAACTACGTATAAAATCTATAATCTCAACAAATTTCTGTACAATTTGTTTACTAAAATTTTATGAAATTAAATAAGTTCTTTCAAACTGAACAAAGTGATATTCTTCTCTGTGCTAATCAATGTGTAGGATTTTTATAATTTAAATCTACATTATAAAGATTATAATCGTCAATTGCCTGAAACTAAGTTATATTATAATATTGAATGGATTATAATTTGAATTTTATTTCTATATTTGTCAGCCCTAAATTATATACAATTATCAATTCATAGGAATATATTATAAAAAATATTTTATTTTAATATTATAACAAATCTTTATGTTATTATTCTCATATTGTAGAGTATTTGCTTTAATGAAAATGAATATATATATATATATATATATATTTTTTTTTTTTTTTTTTTAACAGAAGTTGTGATTGTTCTTTAATGCTTGCAGTGATTGCAAATTAAGAACGCTGTATAGGAAGAAAAGTAATGAAATTAGTTCGAAATGTGACTAATGCTAAGCAAATGTTACATGCTTTCGAATATACATTTTAAATACATTTCATACATTTGATTATGCGTCCTATTCAAAAGTAAACATGACTCCTTATTATTTGCTAGTGACAATAAATGTAAGCAAATACGACTAAATTTATAGGGAAAAAAAAAAAAATACTTTCAAGTATAAAGTGAACGAAATTCACATCTTAAATACGCATTTTGCAATCAATATGAAAATGCTAAAATAAGTTATCATTTCATAAATTTATATTTATTAATAAGCGAAATAATGCTTTAAAAGCTCAATTATATTAATAGTGTAGGAAAGTTAATAATAAATAGATAATTCGACTTCTAAAGAATTGGCATATTATAATATAAAGTCTGGTAATTTTATAATTTAGTAATTATAATACGTTCATGTTGCTAAACAGCACATCCCATCATTTCTATTTTACCTTAGATATTATTGTCCGTGTAAAAATTTAAGTAATATCGAATGGATTATCTAGAGAATTAGAATAGAGAAACGCCATTAAGCCATTAATATATCATTCAAGGCTCAAATTGAATATAAAGTAGCATTTGTGTCGTTAGTTTTCTTATCTTAGACCACTGGAGCGAGAGCCTTGGTAAGTTTAGTATGTTACAATCGACGGGCAATATTCGTTATTTATAGAGAACGTAGCTGAGAGATTTATCGAATATAAAACGAAGGAGTCACGATATTGATATTCTATTTCATCTTCAACGATTCACGATCATCACAATGACTTTCCACGCTCGCATTAATCGCCCCTTTTGTACAAAAGTGACCTGCATGCATGACCAGCCTCTTGAAATCCGTGCCCACGGCGACAGAATCAAACGTCTGCATTAATTAGAACAAAAAATTCGTTCACAGCAGAGGAGACGCGCGAGTAAGCAATATGCACATTCTGCATTATTACTATAATATAAAAATAGAGTCGAGGATATCGATGATCGCCGTCATTTTATTACAGGGAGGGAAAGCTCGTAGCGCCCGCCCCGTCACAGGGGTAAATGTGATCGTGCGACGCTCGATTGCAAGTTCTCTTAAGAGTCGGCCGTCGTCGTGGAAGTCGAGGAAGACGAGGCCTTAGACGAGTTATGTTATCTGCGCTCGCTGCGGCTGCCGTTTCTGCTGTAGTTACCGCGACCTCGGGGTCCGCTTTTCGTGCTCGAGGACTTGCCGCTGGTGGTCGACGTCGTCGACGAGGACGAGCTGCTCGTCGTGCTCTGTGACTGTAGAGCAGAGAGATTTTTCAGGATTACGATCGCTGGAGAGTGGAGTTTTAGGATGGAAAGGACTACCGAATCGACTGGAATGCGATTGCAGCCGAAGCTGTAGTTTCCCGTCCCGTAATATCATAGTTGGCTTTTCATTTGGAATGTGCGCTTCGTTCGACCTTTTGAATTTTCAATTGGGATTTTCATTTAGGATTTTCATTTGGGATTTTCATTTTGGATTTTCATTTGGGATTTTCATTTGGGATTTTCATTTGGGATTTTCATTTGGCTCGATAAGCATCTCTAAACCCGTATGATAAAAGCAAGTGGCTTCGCCTTGGTATTTTCGGGCAAGGAATCTTTTCAAAACCGAGCGATACTTTGTTTTTCACTTTGTTCCGATTCGATTGCTTGTTTCGTTATTGCGAATAAAACGACAATTATAATGTGAAAATATAAAAATGAGTTAAGATACTATTCTGTTCGATACATTGACAATATTCATCGTATTAGATATTAAAATGAATGTAACGCCAATAATGGGTGTATATTACAATGACATTGTCTTTATGAAATTAATAAACTATTATTTTTGAATATGTATGTGTTGTAAGTAGCATAGAATTTTGGAAAACATATCACGGGGAATTTTATTTTAAATTACGTAATTATACTTAAAGATTGTTAAAATCAATGTTCTATTGTAATTTATCTGTAAATTATCGACAGTTGATGCACATACGTAAGAGAAAAAAAGACAAATTTTCATATCTTCATTATTATTCTGCAAGTTTAATAGCAAAAGTATTGTTGAAATTTGAAAAGCGAATACTTACTTGCGAAGAATTATTACTACCGCTGTTACTATTGGCTCCATTGCCACTTTTACCAGACGATGACGTACTGTTCGTCGTAGTGGAAGTTGTTGGTGCTGTTGTATTGCCCTGTGTCGTCTGTAGATGGTTTTAATACAAAAATTCATTAACAATTTGTGTTAATAACGATTCTTTAAGACACTAGCAAGGATGCTGTTATATTTGATTTGACACTACTTAAAAAGCGTTATTACAAGTCTAATATAGGGAAATTATATTAATCCATTTTGATTTACCATGAATTATTTACAATAAAATTATATTGATTGGTCAATAAACTTGAGGGAAGTATTTTACAATTTATATACTTCAGCGTCTTAAATAATGTTAATTATATACGGAGAGATAACGCGGTAGTGCAAATAACTTTTCAAAATACATTGTCGACAAAGGAGCGGAATCTCAATACTTATCACGAAAAGATCAATTTTCATTTATAAATAATACCTATAACACAACTGATAACATGCGTAATGGGAGCATTTACATTAAAATAACTATTAATTTGCTTTCTATTGAAATAGTAATCTACGATAATTTCAAATCATATATATATATATATATATATATATATATATTTATACGTGAATTCTAAACAAATGATAAAAAAATGTCTTTAAAACGTTTTATTTATAAACATCGATAAAATAAATCCTACGATGTTTTTTTTACTTTAATGTTTTTTTTTTTCAATTAAAATAAAAGAAAAATTATCTTTGGTTTTTAAGAAAGCATAAGTTAAAAAGTAGTTAAATTTATAAATATTTTTAGAAAATAAAATTATACCGATTTAATTAATACGTAGAATTTTTTATAATATAGAATACACATTAATTTTACGGTAAAATTCAATTGTTTCCTTTATTTAATAAATAGTAAGAGAATAAATGAAAACGAAATATAAAATATAAAAAAAAATATATATATATATATATATATGTTTATGTAGAACAAAATTGTAATTTTTTTTTTTACTATTAACTATTAATAGCTACAATTGTGAAGAGTGCTTTCTTCTTTTATTTTCAAGTATATTTTTGGTATCACGTGGTGATAGAAATGAAAATGTTTGGTTATGACTTGGTGTATAATATTAAATTAATTATATTTTAATTAAATTAATTAATTCCACAGTTTATATCTAAATTTCAGTATTAGTTCGATATACAGGTATTTCTAATATTATTTAATTTAATTTTCTAATGATATGTTCATCCGTTAATTGTTTTTATTTTCATTTTTATTCTTTTTATTCAATAAGATATAATTTTATCTTAAATGATCAAAAAGTAAATACAAAATTTTATGAAAATCGTGGAATATCAATAATATATCCTTAAACGGAAATATTTCAATATACAAATGTATATGAATATTAGTATTAAAATATATATTTATTGAGGAATTATTTTAAAATCAATTCCTTCATTTTCCATTGTACGTTAATTATAAATTTAATATTCAATATTAAAAAACACTAGGCTATCTTATGTTTAACTCGTAATTCAATTACTCGTAAATGAGCCATAGATAAAAATAATACATTTAACTAGATTTAAGTTAATTCGAATAAATATAGAAATTAATTTACTTTTTTTTTTTGTAAGAATTGTACTACAGGCGTAGTAATATGATTTTAATCGATTTACTCTTGTATTATTCTAATATAAACAGACAAGAATCATATTAAAAATTCTGAATTATTCTGTATTTGAATATTTATGAAAATTACGTGATATTATCTGCTAATTGTAAAGGATTCGAGAATTAAAATCCAAAATTACATTTAAAATTCATTTCAATCGAAATTTTATGTAGAAAATATTATTGTTTATCCTTATTGAGTCGTGGAAATGGCAGTGAAAGTCAAGGGGAATCTATTTATCGCACGTGCATGCAAATAATAGTTAAATATAAAAAATAAATTTAAACAAAACTATTGATGCATTGATTAACAAAGGCTGAATAAAAAATAAAAAATAAAAAAAGCTCCTATTTTACCAGTGAAGATCTTACTGGGGGCCCAGCAATGTTATTGGCATTGCCATTGTTGGTGACATTATTGTTGCTTGCAGATACAGAACATTGATTTACTAATTGCGTAGCCACTGTTGGATTAGGTTCGCTCATATTTAGCTGCTCATTTATAACCATACAAAACTCTCCAATTTTTTGTATGTCTCCATTTTTCCCAGAATATAATGTTAGACATTGTCTCCAAACGGATGCGTAACCTTTAGTTAACCGAACAATATCTCCAGGTACAAGCAGCGTTCCTGGCTCATCCCAAATCGATACATTCATGCACGCTGTACTATCCGCAACTGAAATAAAAAAAATATAACAAATCAATTGGCATTTATTAAACGTAATTAAATTTTGTTTTAAAAACTCTTAACTCTTCATAATTAAAAGAAAAAACAAAAAAGAAAACTATCCGACAGTAATTATATATTAATACGGTATTTAATTTAATTATAATTTATAAGATCCAAGGCATAGAAATTTAATGAAATTGTAAATAAACTTATGCTAAATTTATAAGAAATACTTTGCTATATATTAAAGTAGAACAAATATGTAAAATATTAAGATTATCTTAATTTATATATATATATGTATGATAAAAATATAAGTTTTTGTACTCTATTTTGTTCGCGTGGAATTGTAAGTGATAATTCGATTACCACTTTTTAAAAGCCTTAATAAAATATAAAGTTATAAGAGAGCATCGATTAAGTCTCTCTTACCTTTGAAAGTTCGAACTTCGCGGTTTTCCTTCGTGATGGTGGGATGACCAACCTCGAGGACGATAAATACTACATTGATATTCTTTTGGCCGGGGCGTATATCTTTAATCAGTACATACTCCATAATGCGTTAAATTATTTTCAGTCTCAAGATTCTTTAATTGGCAGCGATAATGAAAAAACAAATGAAACGATACGCATCCAAGATATCACTACTTTCGTCTTGATAATCCTTTGACAATCCTTTCTTACACACTCCGCTTTCCAATGTGTCTACCTTCTCTCTCTCTCTCTCTCTTTCTTTCGCTCCCACCCCTTTTTTTTCTAACCAACTCGTAGGAAAATCCGTTTGATTATAAATAGGTAATTACGCGATAAACGGGAAGAGGAGATCGGAATATGCAAGAGAGCTCGACAAGGCGTCTAGTGCCGGGAGCTACAATTGTTACAAAGTAGTGTTTAGCGGCTCGTCCAAGCTTCGTGTGTGTTCGTTTAATCGCCTCATCGATAGATACATAGGCAAAGAGCAGTACATACACAGCAGCAGCCAAACAGACAAACACACATGAACGCATACGTATATATATATGCATGGATGAATGCATGCATGCATGCACGCATGCTTTTATGCGTATATATATATATATATATATATGTGTGTGTATGTATTTATAAATACGTCCGATTAGAATTAGTATGCTATTGCTTTTTTTAACGTAAAAAAATATCGTGTTCGTAGTTTTGACCCAAGTTCTGATGAACCTCTGCCATGTTTCTACACACCTCCTTTTTATATGTTAACCACCACTTTTGTTTGTCTCTGTTATTCTGTTTGTTGTTTCGTTCATAATATGCAAGACACTCGTTAGGCGTACAATTTTTATGTAACTGGTGGGGGGAATTTTTATTTATACGACCGAATACACATGCCAAAGCAAGCATACATGCTTACGCACCCATAATATATATATATATATATATATATATATATACCACCTTCGCACACACGCGCGCGCACACACACACACACACAGAGAGAGAGAGAGAGAGAGAGAGAGAGATATGCGCATATGTATATTAATTTGTATTTCTTTTAATTCCCGCTCGTATTCAATATTTGTTTCAGTTGATTTTGTTAAAAAAAGGGTTATGACCTAGGCTCGTCGATTAATTAATTAGTGATCAATTGTCTCTTAAATATAGATTGTGAGTATCGTTAATTAATTGCATTGAACTTAACACAACAGTGTAATAAAGGAAAAATAATTACGTATGTATGCGCACGTGCGATATATAGAAGAGACAATGAAAAGTGAACGTTATATATTTGAATAAAGTTATTCCAATCATCCTGACATTAACACAGCTTCCTAATTAGCCGTGAAAAAACTATTAGGACTAATAGGAATAAACATAGTTGATATGTAACGTTAGACAGCCATTAATATTGAGCTTTAATTGTGAAAATAGATATTTCAATTGGACGTACGTTATCACGGGGATAAATGGTAGATAAAAGTTAAATAAGCAGCATTAACGTCTCGGATATGAAGAATCAATCATAACGCTCCCGTTCCATCGTTTCGATTCTCGTTCAGCAATTCTATATTTTTCATTTCCAAAGTTAATCTGATCTGGGTAAAGCCAAAGCTTGTCGCGGGTACGACACATTGTTATGTGCGTATATAAATATACTTAGTTACAAAGAATTGGACAAGAGGTAAATGTCAACATCTTACGACTAAACATGGATGAGGATTCTTTAGATCCGAAAAAATTGAGGCCAACATTAGAGACTTATAAGAAGTTGTCGCAGGACATTTCTAATCATGATACTATTCTGAAGGTGCGCAATGTCTTCTAATATTTTACAATTTCTATTTTATTTCTCTTATTTCATTGATTTTATCCTGCGATTGTTTTTCAGGATAAGACGGTGCTCTCGTACGTTGCCGTTGTATTAGAATATCCTGATGAGGAAATCGTGTTATTGGCACTCGATATTCTCGAGACCTTTATAAAAAATGTGGAAAACTATAATCACATAACCTCGACTTTTGGTGTTAGGGAAGCCCTCGATGCAGTTATCAATAAATACTCTACGAACGATTCAAAATTGGCTAAGCGAGCACAAATCATTAAGGATAATATAGAACGCATGAAGCCACCAATTTATAATTTACGTAGTCGTTGTAGAAGGGTTATAGAGCCAAAGAAATTGAAAACTCACGTCATTGTTTTACACGTTCATGGCTTGTTACCCGTAAGTCTGATCGATGATCTATAAAATTTAATCTATAAAACCTGAATTAAAATATTTCCTTTTATCAATTAATGTGTATGAGCAAAAATGTTGTTATTATTTGTAAGAAAAAATGTATAAATTATATTTGTTATATCGACATAATGGATATAATTAATATATTTCTATTTATTTCTATTAATAGCGAAATTTGTGTAACTTATTGTCAATATCAATTTATTATCGTTAAACAGGAAACACGAACAGAATTAGAATATACTTTAATAAGGATCGAAGGTTTAATTTCATTAGTTGTTGATGTAGAACATCAACGTGTAACGATGAGAGCATTGGTCAATGTGTCGGCTAAGCAAATTGCTGAAGCCATTAAAGATAATAATCCAAATATGGAGGCACGGCTAGTTACAAGAAATAAATATAATCAAGAATTTTTAGTTAAATTGGTGAGTTATTAACTATTTATATAATAAAAAAGTTAACGAGTTAATTAACCAATTCAAATTCGAAGTAACGATAATAATAATAAATGTAATATTTTTCTAATATTTCACCTATTATTTAAACGATTATTAACATTCATTTTTATTTATCAATATTTATTTTGTAATACTTCTAGCAATTTGTCTGGCATGCGCGCACTATTTTAGTTTTTAATTTTTAATTTTGTCCTGCCCATTTTGTACAATTTAAAATTTAGTTTCTTATATTTTCATATTTGTCATTCAGAATTTGCTTACATTTTTAATGGATTTTTATGAAATGCGTTAAATAATTAATTTGTCCATAGATCGATACAGAAACAGAGGATTGCGACGATTTACCGGAATACTTAATGGATGATGACGACCAAGTGGAAGGAAGAGAGGGGGTTTTATCTCTATTTACAGGTTTAAGGCAAAGTGCATCTACGTTCTACAAATCAACGGCTGAATTCCTACACAATTCCTTCTATTGGTGAAAAAAAAAAAAAAAAAACAAACAAAAAAATGTATTAAGAATTGTATATATTTACTAAGCGCATTTGGAAAAATTGTTGAGTTATGCATTTATCCAAATAAGTTGATGCTCTAAGAGATTTTTGACTGTAGAAAAACTATAGCTGTGAGTATTGACTTTTCTGTAACGTCATTAGGAAACGAGTTTCGAATCTCTGTTTCTAAAAGATCTTTAGTAGGTGTTATGAGTTTTAAAGTTTTTTGTATATTTTGGTTTTATTATCCATTAATCATCGTTTAATCAATCATTTCACGTTATTCAGTATGATTGTTAATCGTAAGTGTTAAATTGTAATTTTTAAACAGACTGTAACGAAACCTTATAAGTGTGCGTGATAGATTATTCGTGTTACTATTTATCTGCAAAAATAATTATCGCAAATTTATCGAAAGTTATTGCATTGACTTCCATTATTAAACTTAATTATTATAAAGATTGAAGGACCTATGATGTCTCGTATACTGGAATATTTTACATATGTATGTATGTAATGCATCTATCACTTTTATTTAACATTGATAGAGAGTGCTTCTAGCATCTTAACGCAAATCGATTTATAAAAGTAAAATGAACCGTCTTTGAATGCGATGGGCTTAAGCATTTTGTTATACTCATCAATCACGAGGCTGTGCGAATAAATATTTTATATACACGTTATCTTTTACATTTCTTAAAATGAAATGACAAACGTTTACTTAGTACTGTTAAAATGATATAAAGATATATTACTAAACATCAATAAAAAATAATGAATAATTACCTAGTACTATTAAAAAATTATTAGAAACGATGTTAAATGTAAAATGATTGCGAGTATATCATTCGTGGTTCCTTAATTTTATTTTGTACAATGTGTTATGCATATAAAAGATTAACGAAATTATATAGAGCAAATGAAAAAGAAATTCTAATTGATTTTGTCTATGTAATGACTAGTGCGATACAAATATTTTTGTTTTATTGAGCCCCAATAATATGCAATAAATATGTACAGATTATAATTTGAATTATTTTATCACTTTAACCTGATAATGAAATTTTGCTACTTTTCTTTTTATTGTTTTTTTTTTTTGTTTTTGTTTTTGTCGTAACATTAGTATTCGTAAGAATCTGTTCTCTGTCCATTAGTCTTTTACATGACGTTTTTAAAATATGTATTATAGTAAATAAGTTTGAGCATAATTTGACTTTATAAACTTGTGTAAAAAGATATTCCATTTGGTGTATCAAAGTAAAAAATAAATATCACGCCATTAAAGCTCTTAATACATCTTATTACTAGTTTAATTCTTAAATATTATGTATGCACATGATAATGTGTATAATAAATTTCTGCATAGTAGCGATTCGGACAATTTAGACTTTTATTTGTATTTAAACAAGCCTAACTATTTTTTTTAATTTCTTTGCCTATTGAATACATGTATATATATATATAACTTAAATCCAAGCTCAAGCTTTGGGCTTGTTGTACGAAATATAAAATTCATGAAAAATAGTTCAATTGAATAAAAATGAATATATTGCTTATTTATTTATTTTTTTTATTGCGTTTATTAATAAAGTTATGTTATAAATAAAAATACTAGTTTTTTTCTCTATCAGTCTGTTTGGTAATAGAAGGTAATTTACGAGTAGAATTCAGAATCATGAATACACAAGTGAATTTATGTAGAGACTTTATTATATGCTAATAAGTTATATAAGTAACACGAAAGTTTGTAGATCTTTTACAATTAACTACAGAACCAGTTGGTTAAGGAGTCATTGAATGCATAGTAGGACTGACACTACTACTTTGCATCATTACAATGGATACAGTATGTTTGGATTATTTTCTAAAGGTGTATGCCTCTTAGAAGGAAAATTAATTTTGTCGTTGATTATTGTTGTCTGAGCACGTGGACAGGCTGCTGGCTAACCTTACGCTTAGATTATAAATTCAATCAGTTTGCGATTGTATTGTCTATATGTACAAATATATAATAATTGTCATTAAGGCAATATGAGTTTTTTTTTCAAGCAGGTACAACATTACTAGACTATATTTATTTCATAGAAATAATGAAAATATTTGAGTACACCGCATTATCATTAAGTATAAATTTGTAACAATATTTACTTTTATTTATTTTTATTGTTTTTGTTTTGTTAATACCGTTGCTTTGTCATTGAAAATCCTAATGTTTTCATCGAAAGTAGTTAATACATGCTTGAAATTGAGTATCAAGTGAAAGTAATATCTTAATTAATTACTACTATTTATTACAAATGTCAGGTTGCGCATTACAGTAGTTTTTCTTCTTTCATAAGTACTCCAATAATTTATTTACTTTTTTGTCTCAAGAACACAATCTACCGTATTACAGATTTGCCACAAGGCACACACGTATATAAATCTCGTATATAACAGCATTTTATTCTATTACACTTACCGCATAAATTGCGCATCGATTACTAAATTTATGAAATTTTTATTATCGTCGTTCCTTCATCAATCGTCGACTTTATTACAGTGGCGCTTCGAAGGAATTTCCCTTTTGTATTATTTACTCGACCAATTCAAATATATCTGTTTGTACGACTTGATACAAGTGCACCGAAAAATAATTGCCGCTATTGTAAATATTCAATATTGAAAAATATTGCATTGCCATACATCGAACATGTTTAGGCACTCCGTATATTAAACTTTATACTTACATAAATGCTAAACAAAAAAAAACAAAAAAAAAAAAACAAAAAAAAAAAAAGAGCTTATATAAAAGGTTCTTTTAGTGCCACGTCTATACGTTGCTTTACAATCAATCAACAGTTAAAGCCTAAATTTGCATTAAATTATTCATACGGTACAACTTCCTTATCTCTTTGTAAGTCGTCAATTGGTATTTCTACTTTTAATCTTTTAATCGTTTTACACTGGACATGATTTCGTAATTTGGCGAATGCATATGTTTAACCTAATACTTTTTCTCTCAACACATATTGTATAATCACTTTTCTTTTCTATAATATTTCATATAAAAGTTTCAAAAATGTTAGTTCTTCTTCTTCTTCTTATGCTGATTTGTATTTCCCATAATCTACGTACTTCACTTACAACTACATATTACACGTTTACAGTAAAAAAAATTATACATTATTCTATCCACATTGTGGATACTATATGGAATGCTATATCATATGACAGTTATATTCATCTAGCATATTCACTAAGAGCAACTGTACAAAATTAATCGAAATTTATTGAAGTTTTTTTTATACATTCTTCTCCGTAAAAAAGAAAAAAGAAAAAAAAGAAAAAAAAAAAAGAAGAAAAAAAAGAGAGTGTAAATATGTATATACAAAATATTTACGGATATCACGAAAATCGTATGATATAAGATTTATTTTGAACGATAGATGCACCCTAACTGGAAATTATAGCAGTTGATTTGTCAAATGGCAATTTTTTTTTTTTTACATTAATAACGTATATATAAGTATGTTTTTTTGTTTTTGTTTTTGTTTTTGTTTTTGTTTTTATGCATAAACTAGCACGAGTCTTAATTATGAGAGTATAAAGGATATATTCTACTTCACTATCCTTGCGAATTATTCATATTTTCCTGCACGAAATCTACTTGGGTTTCTTTGCACTATGATGTATCATCTTCATATACCTTATAATGATATAAAAATTCACCTCCTCGCCTATGAATGTGACATGCAAAGAAAGAGACGAGGAGATTTTGCCCGAACAGAATATTTCAGTGCAACTTTACTACATACGACAAATGAATCACAATTCGCCAAAACTAAAACAAGATCGCTCATCAATCAACTAATTCATCTATAAATACCATGAATTAACGCTTATTATCACGTAATCTGCACGAGCGCACAAATAATTATTTACAAAATACTTAAAGTAAATTCGCTAAGTAACGTTGCGAATGTGACACATTCGTACTCATCCATTTATATGTGTGATACGACTTAGCCTTTTATAAAGGTTGATAAATTCCAACGACAATAATCCGGCGATTATTAAGATGAAAAGGGAAAGATGAAAAATCGTTATGCTTCAAAATTCATACAACGTGAACGATAATTTTCATTAATTCTCATTGATCGACGAATTTATGCACGCGCGTATTTATTTACGTGCTTTAATTGCAATTTTTACCAATGCAAACGAATTAAAACAAGTGTGAACATTTAAATTGTGAAATTTCAAATACATGGCTTACGTATAATTTTAATTTTATAATTGTAAAATGTGGCTTTCTATATATTGATTTTTAAATTTTTAATATCTAGCCTGTCTCTTGAAAACTCATGATCTTTCTTTTACTATTCGTCATTCCAAATGAAATCTTTCCAAGTGTTAATTAACTAGTAAGAACAACATTATTATAATGACATTCGTTTACAAAGGATTTCAGTGCGCGTATATCAATCAATTGTTATCGTATGTAAATTCTTAGGCAAACTCATTGATACTTATATAAAATATATGAAATATACTAAGCAATATCCTAGTTTTATAACTATACGACAGAACGGCCAAGGAAATTTACCAATCAATATATCATTATGATTACCAATTAGAATTCATTGTAAAGCTTACACTTTACACATTCCTTCCTTTCTCCCTAGTAGTTATGCACGACTCTAAATATTTAAAATAAACAAATATATAAGTCGAATACTTTTATTTTTATAATTTCAATTAGGTTTAATCATTGCTTCTTTTTTTCTTTTTCTTTTTCTTTTTCTTTTTTTATTTAACATCCATCCACTTCCCCTCCCCTCCAGCCCCTCTTTTCCACATACGATTTTTGTACATTTAGGATACTCTATCAATTATAAATTATAAATCTATGAAGACGTTTAGGTATTTTTAAGATCTTACTTAAATAGTAATCATATTAGAAATAGCAGACAATTAAAATAAGCCATAGTTACGAAGCTTTAGTCAAACCTACGGTCCAACGCAAGCTCCTATTCCCCGTAAAATAAAACATTTTGAGGAATTTAAATTGATGATAAATTTTAATTATGAAAATCGGTATGCTTGTTAAAATTTAGAAAGTCAATTGAAAAATAATCTCAATATACGAATATCAATTTTTAACTTAAATTTACTCTTAATTCAGCCTTTTAATCGAATTTTAGATAAAGTCATTAAATTATTACACGTAAGGAGAGCTCATCCCTTCATAATTTTGTGGCCAAATCGACGAAACGTGTAAGAACAATGTTAAGTGTTTCAATAATAATGGCAGTTGTAAGTAAGTTTTCGAGACTGTAGCGGTTAATCGCAATTTTGCCTTAAATTCGAAATATCAAAGCCAAATAATTTCGGCAATACATAATTACTACTTAACAATTCCTCCTAATGCGTTAATAACGAGAGCAATGACGGTGTTAGTGTTCGATAAATCAAACGACGATGTTCAGTAGCGTGGAGCTCAAGTGAAATTGTTGCCAAAAGAAGTACCAAATTATGTTGATGAATCAAGTGTCGAAATAAGAAGGCGAGAGAAAAGGAACATCAGCGTGATTGTTTGTCGATGGAATGTGCCAACGGAGCGAGGGAAAGTGTCTAGACTGTGCTCTCGCACTTGAGGGCCGTACTAGCGAGCTGCGAGGTTATCGTGACTTCGCTGATTTCGTCCGTTTCCGACTGGCTTGCGGACGACGAGGCCGAGGACGTCGATGACGATGACGATGACGATGACGATGACGATGACGATGACGACGAGGACGAGGACGAGGACGAGGACGAGGAGGATGTGGAACCGCCGCTCGTATCGTCGGTCGGCCTCCTTACCCCGAGGCTATTGCACGCGGACAGGGTGCGCTTACGAGGCGCGTACTTGGGATGTCCCGCGGGTGTGGACTCGCAGGAGCCGACCCTGCGGAAGGCTCGCTGCACCTCGGGATTGCTCTCGAGGGTGGATGACTGGCTGGAGGGTGGGTGCGAGTACTCCGAGGTGTTCTCCTCGTCCGAGGCAAGGACACGCTTGATGTTTGGGACGCTCGGCAGTGACGGCTTCGAGCGCCGATGATGTCTGCAGCCTGGACCAATTGGCCTCCTCGCCACGCTGTAAGAAAACATGGGCAGTTCGTTGATTCATGGGCATGCGTAGATGATCATTTGGATTCGAGATAGGCCAGATGATGATAATTAAGAGTATTGTCGCTTTGGTAGGAGAGTGGCGCGGAAAGAAAATTTGTTGTTTGCATAAGTGTTTCCTCGGAGCCCTTATAATTAAAAATTTGCGATCTCAGTGAAGTTACGCCAGTACGAATGTTTCAATAAGTACAAGAACTTTCCTTTGACATAAAAGATTTGCAAGTGTGATCCCTTTATCGAATCGTTATTATTTATTCCTCGACATGTATGTATGTCAGGGACAAGTGATTAGGTATATCATTGACATTAAACTTCGTTCGAAAATTATAATTTTTTATTGCTTACAAAATTTTATACAATTCGAACAGTTATTATAATCCATAGATGTTAAAGGAATTGCTTTAAAATCCAAAACCCACAATAACTGCTTGACGTCAATTATGCAGCTGATATCATCTACTGAATATTAATGGCATTAAAATAGAGAATAGTCATAATTTCGTCCGATTTTTCACGATTACTTTTATTATTATTTAAAAATTACGCATTTAATTTAGAAAATCGTACTTTCAATTTCATAAGTCTCATTCGACATGTATTAAATAATATTAAATATTATGACGCTAGTGCATTGCATATAAAACAATTTCAAATACTTTATAGTTTGTAAAATTTTAGATAATTTTGAATTTTATGTTATTGAATCACAATGTATAATTTAACTGAAATAATACTAAATGCATTAGTATAATCGTAAACAATAGTAATAATTAACTCGATATGCATTAAGAACGATGTAATTCAATCATATATTACTGCCGCCACTTAAAATATATATTGCATACGACAACAACAACAACAACAACAACAACAACAACAACAATAATACAACGACTATTGGCTATAACAACAACGACAACAATAATATCTAAGAACGATGTAATTCAATCATATATTACTGCCGCCACTTAAAATATACAACAACAACAACAACAACAACAACAACAACAACAACAGTAAAAATATTACCTTCTTCTTCTAAGCGAATAATTGTAAGTATAATTTGGGTCTTCTCCTTCTTCGTCGGACCAGCTTTCTTCTTCACCCACGTCTGCATCTTCGATGCGTAGGGCATCGATCACATCGGTATTAGGTCTTATATCATTTTCCGAACATTTTTCTACTGTTTGGCCTGGTAATTTCTGCAAGTCTTCCTTTAGCCGTCTGCGTAAATACAATTTGCAATTGTTTTATAATGTTTTATCGTGATAATACGCCATTTATTTAAGCAGACAGTCGATAAACGTACGTTAAAGAACATTTAGCGGCTCGACGATCTTACGTAATAAGTATTGTAAGCTTGAATTATTTCAAAATTCATTTTACACTTTATGGATAGATTCGTCAAATTGAAACAAAAAAAAAAACATCTTGAACTTTAAACGATTTACTCGTACGTGACAATGTAAATGACAGGCAATGGTTTTGAAAGATTGTAATATTATTATTGAAAAAATAAGCATGGCCCAGTAATAAATACAGTCCATCCATTAAAAAAAAAAAAGAAAAAACAAAAAAAAAAAACAAAAACAAAAAAATGTGCCCTCCTTATATTAAAAATGGTTTGTAAAATTACCCATGCGTGACAACGTTACAGCGATTCCCATTATCCATAGGTGACATAAGCCTATTTGCGTTCAATATTTCATTGACTTTTCTTCCCAGCGTCTCCAAATGATCGTCATCGCTGCAATCTCTCAATCTCTCGCTATTCCCATTCAGTCGATTGTCATTGAGAGGCTCGGGACTCGAACACGGACTATTTGCGGACTGTCTGCGATGTTGGTACTGCTGAGACTCTGCATTATTACCGTTATTCTGGCAGTCTAGGGTTGATTTTGGATAAAGGCGGTTCGAGGATACCTCGAAAATGTATCTGTCCTGTAGGGAGGAGGGTCGCCGGTGCTGCTGGATAAGTTGGTGATCCTTGGGTAGAGAGTCCGTTTCGTTCGTACCTGGGACTTCCGTCTGAGTCTGATTGTCCACTAAACGACTGGCTGAAATCTCCGCAGTCTGAAAACATCATCGTCATTATGGTTATCGGGGCTAGCAGCAGTTTTAGCAGCACTGTCATCGTCATCGCCAATTATATTTTATGCAAATAATGATGATAAAACACATGGGAATTATATTTCAAGTAGCATACTTTGTTACTTGTACTTGGCTTATTATTATAATGGGGTAAACCAGATAGAAATCTCTTATCTATTCTTTCTTTTTACTCTTGCCTGCCTACCCCCCCCCCCCCCCCCCCCCCCCCCCCCCCCCCCCCCCCCCCCCCTTTTTTTTTTTT